TCAGGATGTTGTAGCCTGCATGACTATCGAGGCTGCTATACCCGTGTTAAACAGATGTTTATTAAAGTTAATATGTTTGTTGTAGGGGTGTTTGTTAGGTGTGTTATTGAGGTTATTATAGGTTGGTGTGGGGTGTTTGTTTTGTGTGTTATTTAAGTTATTACGTTTGGTGTGGGGTATTTGTTATATGTGTTATTGAAGTTTTTATGATTGGTGTGGTGTATACCTGTATCACTAAATTGAACATACACTTCGTTCCACTCTAAGGAACCTTCACCCCGTTTGCTGTGTATAAACTGACATAGTGTTAAAATTATTCTACTCCTTGCATGGCTTCAGTTGTCCACAAGTCGTTACAAGCCAGACTGGATTCGGAGATTCTCACCTACAACAGACCCACGAAATATTTGTCTTCACTAGTTTATTACAGAAATCTTTAATCCTTTCTGTAACGGCAGTCAGACAGGTTAAATACTCGTTACAATATCTCCCTGCATCGACTTGCCGATATCCAGATCATCACGTGATAGCTTGCTATTTATAGTTCAAAGCCTGAGTTCATTTATTATATAACACTAGATGATGAGTATTAAAAAAACAGGAAAAAAACAAATATTTGAGAAATTTGTTTATTATATTGCACAGGCTATAGTCATAGACAATCATACAAAATTACGTAACAGGGGTAACTACAAGCGGTGTATGTGAGAAGTCATTACAGAGTTGTCGGTGCTGTTACGGGGGGGGTGTACCCAGGGGGAGTGCTGTGACACACAACTGGACCCAGGGGCTGTGTAGTGACACACCAAAGCGGGACCCAGGGGCACACCACAAGATGGTCAAACTATTCGATGGGGGGGGGGGAGATGACCGCAGACAATAGACTAATAACGATATGGCCGTAGATGGTTAACATGATTCAGAGTTAATGACGTTATGGATGAAGTGCTAAAGATAAACAGCTAAACGTGGTACGTTAACAACAGTGTTCATGTTGAGCTAAAGATAACAGCCTACAGATCATAAGAAAGATAAAGATAGATGATACAAGTCATAACAATGATAAAGATATATGATAAATGTCATACGAATGACAAAAATAAAAGAAAATGTCATAAAAATGATAAAGATAAAAGATAAATGTCATAAGAATGACAAAGATAAAAGATAAAGATCACAAGGATGATAAAGATACCGATGAAATGGTAAAGATCATAAGAACTACAGAGATACTGAGGTACCTACACGAGAATGTGTGATATTGAAATCACGCAGAAACACACAAAGACATCCGCTTACCAAAACATGCCCAGACATTTTATACATGTGGCTGAAATACAACCCAAAACCGATGTCAACCTGGAATGGTCAGCACACTCTAGACACGTTATGTCGAGACGGACAACACGGAGGAAGTTGACACCATGTAACACACCACAATCTTACAACTGGGTAGCCCAAGTACGGGCGTGTTGGAGTTGTGATGAATGGGGCGCTGATACTAGTTGCCAGAAATAAAGACTGGAATTTAACTAGAGGGTTCACTGCATTCGTCAGGAAACGACGTTCATGGAAAGTAATGCAGTGCATTATGGGGGAAAGTCACGAGACATTCCCATAATGCAAGCAGAGGAATGAACGGGAGGGTGGGTCAAGTAACACGCAATAACTTGGCCCGGAGTACTTTTACTAATGAAATGTAAAAAAATTAAATACGAGCTAAAGACGTGGATAATCAAAGACGATTTAAGAATCTGAGATGTGAGGCTATTTTTAGCCAGGTAAGGGAAAGCGTGAAGACTTAAAAATTTAATTACAAGGCGTTAGAGTGTAAGAGAGAAATCGGTGGCCGAGTGGTCACAAAGGAAATCGATGGGAAGTTTAATGAAAGAAGATGTTTTCGAGTATCGACCATCAGACCTGTTTACAGATATAATTAAAATCAAGTAAATAGAAGTTGATGTTTTCGAGCATCGACCATCAGATCTGTTTATACAGATATAATTAAAATCAAGTAAATAGAAGTTGATGTTTTGGAGTATCGACCATCAGATCTGTTTATACAGAAAGAATGTGAAATCAGGTAAATAGAAGTTCATTTAATGTAGGCATATCTATCCCTAAAATCTACTCGTTGAGACAAAATGACCATATCAGAAATCAAGTAAACAGAATTTGATGTTACAACGAATATCTACCCTCAAATCTGTTCGTTAAGATATACTGAATATGATAGTGACCATATCAGAAATAAAGTAAATAGAAATTGATGTTATAACGAATATCTACCATCAAATCTGTTCGTACATACAAGCAGGTATAAAAAAAAAGTTTGAACAAAAGCTACGTATTAAGTCTATTGGTGGATGGGCAGGCGGTGAAAGGGGACATAATCGGGGCTGTGAGGTTCAATAACCGTGTCAAGCTTTGGAATAGCGACTTCTTGGCCTAAGTTAAGCCATAAATTAACGATCCCTTGACCTAAGCTAAGCATTGAAACGGCTACAAAATGTAAAGCTTTGCAACAACGAACCATGACGTTAATTTAAGCTTTATAACAACGATCCCTTACCATGTGCAAAACCTTGAACCAAAGGATCTCTTCTTACCCAAAATAAAGATATTCACCACCGAACCCTTACGTTAAGTTATGCTTTGGAACAACGACCCAAAACCCTTAAGCAAAGCCTTATCACACGATCCCTTACACAATAAAAAAGACAGTGAAAATAGAAAGAACAATCTGTATGTAAGTAACCAGGAATCTACTACTTAACATTTTAAACTTCTGTTTGCTAAGTTATTTCGGAAACACGTGGTCAACACGACCTCTTCCATCTTAAATTAGGACCACAAGAAACATTGTTTTAAACAATACACAGAACCCATATTGAAATTTACATACATGAGGATAAGTAGGAAACAAAAATATACTTTGAAGAAATGTACAAAGTTATAAGAAAAAAGTTTGGAAAATATACAAGAACTTAAATGGAAAAAGTGTAATTTTGTTTAGGCTACAAGAACATACAAACAAAACCATAAATAGTGAACACATTACATTTACATGGAATTAACATTAAGAAAAATAACATTTCTATACAATAATTTTTACATTCTTATTTTAACAAACATTTTTATATAAATTATAATTTTTGATTCAAATTATTAATAATATTTAAATATTTTTTATAAATTAGGTTTTTTAAAAAATAAAGTAAACAAAAGAATAAGCTTTCAGCAGTTATGGCAGTCAAAATCTCTAAACAAATAAAAATCACTGGCTTAATTTTGAACACTTTAAAACATAGTTACAAAATCTGAGAAAATTTTAGTCAATGAACACTGCTGCTAGATGTGGAATTTGTTTGTTTTTAAATTGTCGCATTGTGTTAACTATCGATTGTTTTATATTTTGACAGGTAAAGTGAGAAAATAAAATTAGATTTGAGAATGTAAAGGAAACAGAAGATTCAAGTACAGGTTAAAAATACAGTAAACAAAAAGTGGGACGAGACACTTGGTCTGACACTCGGTGTGTGAGGATCTGAAGGTCTTTAACATAAGTCTTTCCACACGGTTCTACCATCCTATTTGTTTAGCTGTGTGAGGGTGTGAAGGTCTTTAACATTAGTCTATCCACACTGTTCTACCATTCTACTTATTTAGCTGTGTGAGGGTGTGAAGGTCTTTTACATTAGTCTATCCACACTGTTCTACCATCCTATTTGTTTAGCTGTGTGTGAGGGTGTGAAGGTCTTTTACATTAGTCTATCCACACTGTTCTACCATTCTACTTGTTTAGCTGTGTGTGAGGGTCTGAAGGTCTTTAACATAAGTCTTTCCACACGGTTCTACCAACCTATTTGTTTAGCTGTGTGAGGGTGTGAAGGTCTTTAACATTAGTCTTTCCACACAGTTCTAGTTCTACCATCCTATTTGTTTAGCTGTTCATCTTTGTTCACTATCTGAGTGAGGGTGAGAAATGTATGTGTGTTTGAACAACACTTGATATATGATGATGCAGTCACTTTTTGTGTGGCGTAACACTTATGTCATTCTTTGACTTGACACTTAAGTCAGTCCATAACTTGACACTTATGTCAGTCTTTGATTTGACACTTAAGTTAGTCCATAACTTGACAGTTATGTCAGTCTTTGACTTGACACTTAAGTTAGTCCATAACTTGACACTTATGTCAGTCTTTGACTTGACACTTAATTTAGTCCATAACTTGACATTATATCAGTCAGACGTGTGGCCCTAAGGAGGTTTGATGTAAGTTACAGGTTGAGGTATGAGGTAGGCAAGAGAATGGAGCTCTAATCACACCATATATATAACATGCAGACAATGCAATAGTTTGTCACTGTGGGATACAATACTTGTGTAGACAGCAAGCAGTTGGTTAATGAATGTAAACGATATGCTGTAGTTTGATGGGTCAAATTGATAAATATTTCTTCTAATGAGTTAAGGCTCCTGTGGACTTTTCCAAATAAAATTTGTTTTGAAAAATGTGAAACTTATGAGAATATTGTTAAGTATCTGATATAAGATGATGAGAATTGAGTTTTTAATAAGGCTGGGGTGTTAATATAATCTTGATTTATCAATTTTTAAAAACTGTGTGTTAATTGTCATTAGGCTGATTATACAAGATACTTTTTGCATCTTAAAACTCGGGTCTAGGCTTGTAAATGAATTAAAATTTTGTTCCATTTCAAAATATCTATTCAACCATAATCTTCACAAAATTTCATTTGCTTTTACATTTGATGAATCGCCATAGTCTAGTTGTTATTTTGTTGCTTTAATGCATGTATATATTTTTTTCAATATTTAGAAAAAAATTTGTTCTGTTAAATTTTGTGACAATTTTTAAAGGACAATCTGTATTTCAAAATATTCTTCTAATAATAATTCAAAAATGCTAAAAACTAAACCAAACATGTTGGCTTAATTCTTTTAAAAAAAAAACATATTTCAACAAATGAAGTAAAATAAAATTTCATATAATATGAGGTAATACCATAAAATATATCAATAAATATTTTAAGAGAGTACTTGTTTTGTTTTCATAAGTAGACTGACACAAAAATGAACACATACAATAATTGAAAACTTATTCACAACATAATAAATCTGTGTTCACACTGTTGGGCAGAGCAAATAATGTGTTCACTGGTCTAACAAAAGCAACAAAAATAAATAACAAAAAACTCAACACCATCTCACACAGGAGCAAAGTAGGCTTGGTACAAGCACTAGACCAAAGCTGGGAATGAGAGCAGTCAAAACACTGGTGCAATAGTGAGAGATGTGAACAGGTGCAGTAGAGCCACCCACAAACAAAAGCTGGTGTCATGGAAACACTTCATTTACCATTAACAATTTAATATTATTTTATTAAAGGTACAAATTATTTTAAAAATTGGCATACTTAACAAATTTGGTTACCTTAAATTTTAGTATCGTTACACTGAATGCAAACATGATTTAAATCATTCACTACATTAGCAAACTTAAGGTGAACTTAGTCTCAACTGTAATTACACTGTTTTACACCAAATGTCATAGTATATAATATTATCTATATTTTTTATTAAAAAAACTATAAACATCAACCACAAACAATTTATGTCATATTGAATTAAGTGGTTATATTTCAGCAATTTTGTTTATACACATCAATAAATAAATTATTGCATAACACACAAATCAATTAGCTTTAAAGAAGCAAATGCAAACTTGAAGCCTATGAGTTAAATAAAAAAATATTCAATATTCTAGTTTTTTAAAAATGTAAAACATTTTGAATAGTAAAACTAACATGAAACATTAGTTTATATGGTTGACTCATATGCTGAGAGAAACATAAAAAAACAAATAATAATTCCAGAATCAAAAGTCTGAGATATTTCAATGAGATTTGCTAGATTAAAGTCAACCTTAATCAGTAGTAACAGCATATTTGTACCAAAACTAGTTAGGAAAAATCACTTTACAAATGAAGCATACATTTTGCCAACTTAATGTTATAGGATTTACTCCCTTAAAACATAGGTTGTTTCCCCTTTCTTGCTTGTAATAAATGGTAAATATTATACAATAAAGAAATATAGTGAGAGTTGACATGGTTTTCAAACAAATAATTTGTACAATAATTGTAGAGTACCAGGGTCAAAAAATGTATTTTCCCATCCAAAAGAATATCACATTAAGTTGCCATTTTTTTGTTGAATAATTTAATTTTTTTTAAGTAAATAATTGGGGGTAAATATTAGTAACATGGTCGGCCATTTCATTGTCAGCTGCAAGGCACCAAAGTTCATTTTTTATTTCGTTGTTTGCATTATCTAGAGCAAAACTAAGCCGTGTGTTAAATATATAAAGCCATATTAACTAGTCAATCACCTGTACATACAAAATTTACATATTGTCTATGTTATCTAGCTCTGGATCATTCCTAGTTAGATGTAGACATAAGCTAGCCATATATTTGTATATACTAAACTAACACTGCATTTATTAATACATTAACGTAAACTAATTCCGAGTCGACACTTATAAATTAGCAGATTTCTATGATCTTTGTTTTAAAACTAAGTTCAAACTAATTTTATACACTATACGGCATAAATAATTTATGAATAAATGCTTTTAAATATGGAACAAGTTTAGAATTTCATAATTAAAGATAGGAAGTTAGAGTGGCTGTTGCTTGCAAATATTTCAGATCAAGTTGAACAAAGTAAGTGACTTGGGAGTGTAAAGGAGGAAAAATGTTTTTTTAAATGATGAAAAATAGAAGTAAATATAAATCAGATCTTGAATAAGTTAGGAATAGAGTAAAATATATATTAGTTCAATACAAAGAGAAAAAGTGGTTATAAGTAAATGAAACAATAAAAGGAAACTGAAATATTTTAACAAAGAGTTTTTTTAGGTCCCATTACTGCCTAAAGAAAATTAAGAGAAAACAAACATACAATGATATCACTTGTTGGTTGGTAATTTATGGAGATCTGCAACCATTTTTTATTATTTAGGAAACATTCTAAACAATGTTTTTGCTACAAACATTCTGGGAGCCTATAGGTTAAGATTTAATTTTGGGGTTTTGTAAACTATGGAAGGTGCACAATTTAATACATACATTTAAATCTTTACTAAGTAACAACTCTAATAAATATTAATGAAAAGGCTGCAATTATTCATTCAAAAAGCACCATATGGCTTAATCTGAAGATTTGCTATTATTGTGTTAATGGATTAAATTAAATTTAAAAAAAAACACTGGAAAATAACATGGGCATGATACATTTTGACTACAAAATTGATGGCAAGAAAATTTATTGAACTACTTAACTGTACAAGCAGATTTAGTAAAGATTTAATTTTTATCAGAGGAATGAATTTTAAAGTTATTTACAAGAGATCCAATATACAGTACTTTAAACTTTGATTTATTGTGTAAATAAGTTGGGTATTTTTTACAATATAATACTTTACTTTTAATTGTGATAATAAATTAAAGTGGAACAATTCTCAACAAAAAGATATAATATGAAAAATTAGTCTTTAAAATAAAATAGAAATGTTTTTTTTTAATTAAATGGAGAGAAAAAAAATCACTTATGTTTTAAAAGTTGTTTAGCAACAATACACAAAATAACAAGTATGTTTAAAAGCTTTGAAATCAAAATGAAATCAAAATGAAATCAAAATTCTAACAAAATAGATTACTGATGAAAAAGCAGTTAGCTTTTGTAAAATAAGCAATGATTTACACTTGTAATTTACAGCAAAACTGTAACAAAACCAAATTTGAAATTGCAAAGCCAACACTTAGGCTATGAGAGCATGACTCTACATACACTGACAGACTCAAATATGTGTAATTACTAAACTAGACAATAAAATTCAAGTTGGTGTGAAAGAAACCAAACAAAATGCCTTCAATAAAAACCCAAATGAAAAATGCAAATGAAACAATATTTAAAGCTTTTGGCAACAAAATAAATTGTTAAATTCGAAAGAATACCCTTCAACTAATTGCACTTTTTTTTTACATCTAAGTAAAAACTAAACAAATTAAAAATTATAATGTTGTACAAATACTGAAAGAAATCTTTACTGTTTTTTATTCTCATATGTGTACTTAATTTTCACATTCACCATTCATTCGTTCTCTTTTAAACTTTTAAAGAGTTAACTTTTTTTAAATAATAATTCTGCTTCAATTTGTACTATATTTTTTTTTAAAACTAAACTTTAAAAATATATTACATTTATACATGTCATAATGTACAAATTTGCGTTAAATTTACATATAAATTATCTCTTCTGCTTTTTGACGGTTATATGAAACAAGTAACATAATAAATAGATCTTTACTAAAAGCAAGATATGTACATCCATAGTTTCTTTCTATACAAGTGGTATTTGTACACAGTAATTTATAATACTGAACTAAATCATTTGCTTGACAACAAAAAGTATCACTAAGTTTTTGGGGAAATATTTTAAATGTGGAAATGCTGATATGTGGAAAACATATAAATGACACATTTATCCATAAGAAATGTGATTACATGTTAATGCTGCATGCACAGTAAGACAGTGACATAATGAATTACATGAAATAAGTTTCAGGGTCAAAATTAAATTTTGAAAAAATGTGTAGTGAATTTATAAAAAATATTTTTTAAATACATCAGTATATACTGGCTCATAAATATTGATAAGTTTAAAGTGTAAATATTTATATTGCAAATTAAGAAAAACAAACAAGATATGTATAGTATTTTAGCTAGTAAGTTTTATCATATTACCTTAAGCTTATATAGGTTGTCCATAAATGACAAAGTCAGGCAATCACACTTCAGAAAACAAAGAAATAATTTCTTCCCCAAAGCAGCCGCCATAAATTTAAACTCATTTGAAGTAGTGTTAAAAAAAATCATAGTCTTAGATTTTAGAATGTTTCACTTTTTTATATCTTACATTTTTCTCTTCACAAAGCTGATTTACGGAAATTTTGAAAGAATATCTATCTAATGGATGAAGAAAGGGATCATTTTTTTAAAAGCCTGTTCAACAAAAAGGCGTGAAGATATAGAGTGAACCAGCCTGAAATTATGAATGGACATCCCAAGTGTAAACAATAACAACTAGCTTTTTTAATGATCAAACATTTCTAGTCAAATAATAGGAACTTAGTATGAGCAAATAACAGTCCAGCCAAGAACACAATCTATGCACAAACAATGACACTAAACCACTCCTCTTGTGCAAATAATCTCAGGTTAAATCTAGTTTAAATGAAGATAAACAGCATTTGATAAATAACTAAGCGTTAGTGAGCATTTTTTTTATAGTTAAATACAAGTTTTGTAAGGGAAGTCGTCAGCTGTGGCTTAACATAACAAGCGTCAAACTTTGGAGTGAGGACTGAATGTGGGTAAATAAATTAAACTGGAAGCAGTGAGAAAAGACAAAACAGAGTTACAGCTTAGTTATGACAACATCGGCTTCACTGGCGTCAAACAGACTGATCCCACCCTCAGCACAATGGTTCTCCTGGCCGAAGTGGTTGGGATCATAGCTCCCGTTTGTTAAAGCCAAAAGAGGTTTGGTGAATTCTCCACCCTTATGAAAACTTTCCCTGCCAAACTCGCCTATCACGGGGTCATCCTCTTGCTCGCTATCAAACGGGTCTGGCACTTTAACATCCACCTCACTGTTCTCATCATGTTCACCACAGCTCACATAACTGGACAAGCTACAGCAGCTGAAGCTCTCGTCACAGCTCCCATACAAGACAGCGCCACTGGTCTCATCCTGGTTACTGAAGCTCCGGAACGAGTTTGTGGCCATGCTGTGATTGACATTCATATTGCACTCAGAGTAAACACTCTCATCCTCAATCTCATCGGAACTCTCGCCAATGTTAGAACTCAACTGGTCCTCGACGCTAGACTCACGTATCCTGGAATTCAGCCGGTTGCAGTAACCTTTTTGGTGGACCGCATTTTTCCTGACCCTGGCCTCCTTGGGTGCCCCGAGGGGGTGCCAGAAATCTAAACTGCCAAGACTTCTAGTACGGCTACAACCAAACCTGGCACGTTTCTCCGCCGCGGCCGTGGCATCGCTCTCCTGGTTGTCGGCGCTCACACTGGACCTCACCTCCGCCTCGTCCTCAGCCTCCACGACATAGCTCCCATGGAGTGAGGCCTGGTGCAGCTTCTCAGCAGCCTTCCGCAGCATGATAGGTGAACAGGGCAGTGATTGGCTCTCTTGCTTTGTGAAAATGCAACCAGCTGTGAAGGAGGATGTCAGATGATCTGCGTACCGTATCAGCGACACACCAAATCCATTGCCGTTGAGACTACATTTCCTCTGCCTGGGGAACTCTAGCAGCTTTCTGCCATCCTTGAACTTGCTAATGGAAGCAAATGGGTTGGCATTGGCAGGGCAGTAGTGTGGGTCATCCTTGGTCATGGCCTGGGCTATAATCTGAGGCGTCATCAGTAGCACTTCCTCTCCAGGTATACCGGTTAGGCTGTCACTGTTTTGTATTATGTTGTCCTCTGACCTTGACCTCTTGTGAAGTTTACCTGTAAAACACACGGCAGTAATGTATGATATTAAAAGAAAACACATGAGAGGTGATAATGTAAAAAAGAAACCTAAAATGTTGCCACATATTACAGGGTTGAGTAGATCACACAACTACTGAACAAAATCCAGACACAATACAAAATGCTGTTATCAACCTCTAAGCTAGACTTTTGTAACAACTTTCTCATCATAACAACATTATTTACCTGAATACTCAAATGAATTAGTGCGCAGATTCTTATAGATCTTCTCTAGGTTGCTAATAATAGTCATAGAACTGGGCCGTAGTTCTGGCAAAATCTGTTAATGTTCAAAGTAATATTCACTTTAAGTTATTATTATCTGTATTATTATCTTTAGTAAGTTACAAAATTTGTTTTAAACAGGCAATTGCATCCATGCGATAATTAATATTTCTGATGTCACAACAACATTCATACCAGCCCCATCATTTAAAGCATTTCTTCTGACTTAACAACAACTACACACTAACCCCATAATTTAAAACATTTCTGGCCTAATAACAGCTACACACTAACCCCATTACTTACAATATTTCTATCCTTTAAATTTAAAAAATTCCGGCTTACCTGACAACATTTAAATGCCAACTGAAGAAAATCCAAAGGGCAGTAATCAACCATTTCACACAGTTTGATGTAATCAACACCAAATTTCTGTTTAAAAAAAAAAACAGAATAATATTTAAATCAAAATGCTGATGCCAAAAACAATAAAGCCATTTATTAAAGATAGGCAAGTGAATTTTGTAAGATTAAAAAAAAAAAAAAAATAAGCAAAAATTAAGCAAATGAGCAAACCTTTGTTCTTGGCATGGTCTCTGGGTCAGCATCTATCCTTGTTGTGATCTCCAACAGGATTATCCCATATGAGAACAGATCAGCCTGAAATAGAATGGTCTCAATGAACAATGATGGTCAGTCCATGTAAGACTAACTGGCTGGCTTAAGAATTATGTAAAAACTTTAGTCTAGCCTCCAAACCTTGTTACAGTAAAATTGTGTGTAAAAGATATAAGGACCAAGAACTGCACATACCCTTTCATCATAAAATTGTCCATGTATAACTTCAGGGGCCATCCACCAAGGGCAACCTACTGATGGTAGAGGTTCTTTTGACCTGGGAGTAGGAAGAAATAGAAATATCAACAAAACAATGACAAGCAAAGAAAAAACACAGGCTAACAATGTGTCACATTCAGTGGATCAAACTAGTGATATTCAATCTAACAAGTGATATACAATCTAACAAGTGATATATAATCAAACACAAACTTACTTGGGATCTGGTATTTTTGTGGCTAAACCAAAGTCAGCTATCACAGCTTGGTAGTTTCTGTTATCTCCTTTCTTTATTAGGATGTTCTTAAAAGGAATTGTAAAAAAATTAATTAAATTTATGTAAAAACATGCTTAAATTAGACCAAATAAATGCCATATTAAAGCTACACAATCTTCAAGATTCCACACACTAACCTTGGAAGTTAGATCTCTGTGAAAGACTCCTTCCAGGTGGAGATAATGCATCCCTCTGGCAATGTCCAAGGACAGTTTGATTCTCAGCGTCCATGGCAACTCTTCATCTTTTTTAGCCAATAACTCCTCCAGGGTCCCACCGCTTATGTACTACAGAGACAAAAATAAAGAAATAAAACAACTAATTCTAACAACTTGTTAATTCACATGTCTGTGAGAAAAAAATATTTATTTGTAGGTTAATGTAACTTGTTTTCTTTGGATTTCTTACCTCAGTTAAAGCATGCAGCTGTCCTTCATGAACGCAAACACCCAGAAATCTGAAATATTGACATTAAAAAATGTACCATCAAAATATTAATAAAATCAAATAATATCAAAATCCTCATATAACAACATATCTATGAGAGGTCACTCTGTGATAAATAAAACATTTCCCCCCTAAAGTGAAAAGGATTAGTGATAATAAAACAACTTCCTACCGTAAAATATTTGGATGTGATAATCTGTTCATAAGCTGCACTTCACGCAAAGCACTTGGGCGATTTGCTGAATCTTTGTTGATTTTCATCACCATCTCCTCATTTGTCACTCTATGTGTTGCCTACATGGATGAGCAGTTTGAAGTCAGTCACAGGTAAAGAGAAATGTTTTACATTATCACTTGTTTTGTACAGGTATAGAGTGATGTTCAACATTATCATTTGTTTAATATTGAAATTAAGGTAAAATTTATTCACTAGGTTTGAGAAAAGAAAGTTAGTTGAAGGAATTACTGCCTCACTGCTAACCAAAATAGTTCCTTTTTAGAACAGAAAGTCCATGGTAATGATAAAGTTTATTTATGTTTTTTGACTTAAAAATATAAAATGATTGTGTGGTCAGCATATTTGCGTTACCTAACACAAGTCAGGTACCCATCAGAGCTGGGGAAACCAATGGACATTTTAAGGGCTTAAGACTTAAGCTTAAGACTTGAGGGTTACTGACTGAGTGCTCTTTACACCACAAATGTCAGTTATGTCTAGTTTTGAATGTTTATCGTTACACATTTTTTCTTTATAATAATTGGATTAGAAAAGAATTCTAAATTTTAATTTAAAGTAGATTTATAAACATTAATACACTTCACATGCATATACCTTCATTAATTGTAACTTTCATTCAATATTCTACTAACAAGTACACAATATATAATTAATCAATGTAAAATTGTTAACAAATTAGACATTTAATTATACTATTATTTCTCCCTGACAAAAAATGAATAGCTAGTGTTTCTATATAAAAGATGTGTAAGTGTCAGCACTTGATCCGGTGTCAGTTACTGCCAACAACTGGAGCTGTCAGTATACATGAATGGTGTCAAGTGACCTAAGTAGCTCAAGTGCCCTGTTTATGTCTGTCATTTGTCCTTGACACACATTTCTCCAATTAGGCTATATTTATACACAGCTTTATCAACCATACAAGCAGGTTTAAAAACAATGCATCAATCAGAGATAAACACAGCCATCAAATTCACTGCTTAATATATTTATAAACAATACCACAAAGTGTTAAATACTTTAAACTGCTATAAATATCCAAAAAGCAGTATTAGTTACATTTGACACTTACCTTGTACACATTTGCAAAAAAGCCATCCCCAAGTTTCTCAAGGATAAAATCATCAATCCTTGTAAGGGCAGATACTGCATGCTTCAGGGCCTGGCATGACGAGGTAGGGGCCGGAGATGGAGATCTTTTCCCAATGGCCTCACAGTTAAATGATACTGAGTTTGGAATGAACAAAACACTCATGATTTGTTTGTATTGACTCTCATAGAAGAGCAGGAGAAAGCTGGTCCTCACTGTTAGATAAGGGAAGCTCAAGTAGCTAATGAGATGAACAGTCTAATTTTAGTAAGACAAGGTTTCAAGTGCATGACAAGCTTGTTTCAGGAAGGGAAGAAAGTATTATGCACACATCGTAATTTGCATTCACAACAAAGTTTGACAACCAAAGTCAGCAACAATTACATAATAAAGAAACTGATTAATAATGGGTAAACAAAAGGTTTAAAATATGTATCAAATAGAAAGGATATTAAACTTCAAAAATTTGAGTAACGTTATTTATATAAATCTGAATCAATCTGAATGTATAAAAGTTATTTCTCTTTGATTAATGTGAAAGTTAAGAGTTACAGTGATAATGCTAGAAAAAAGTTCCATAATTCTTCTACAAGTTTATAAAAAAAAATTTTTATTTTTTTTCTGCTCAATAGAATACATAACAAATTAGAGAGTATACATGTTTTAACACAAATATGTAAGTGTTTTTTTTCAAATATTTAAATGTAACAGTCAGTTACAAAACAGATAATTTCTTTAAAACTTTATCTCCCCTTACCTTCAGTGTCTGGTCTACCATCATTTCCCCCAAAGTGAGAAACATTGATGGTTTTACTACGCCGCAATTTCAAAATGGGTTTCCCTTCTAGACCTCTGTCGACTGTTTTATCTGACATTTTGAGATGTTGTTTGACAATAAAGATTGTCATTTTTGTAGGTCACCATAATGCTAAAGAGTTCTGGTGACACAAAGCTGCTGCTTCTGGCTTTTCCAGACCTTCTACCTACAAAAAAACAAACAAATCCATGTGAAACAACCTCTTTCATGTTTACCCGTGGGAATATTTCAACAATCGTGTCATCATACTTTGTGTTCAAAGTGGGTCAGATATGATCTAAACATCCTATGATAATGACAATAAAACAGGGCCAAATATCTGTTAAGTCATACTTATATTAAACTTTGTTGACACTGATATACACAGATTATAACTTAACTGCTATAAATATTGGGTTGTCTAAGTATAATCATACTTACTTGGGGCAGGGGAGAGATTTATTTGAGACTTTTGTTATGAAGAGTCATTAGGGAACAGGGTTTTAAAAAATGACAAGCAACTTACTTTTTTTTTAATTACATTGTAATTTTTTTACAACTATAATTTATTTAATTTTGTAGAGGATGGATCCAGTTCAAATAATGATTGAGGATAGAGAATAAACATTGGCAAATAACACACCCCAAAAAATGAGCTAGATTCAAAACAAATGCTCCATAACACTGATTCACAACGTCAGAACAAGTAAAGCTTGTCAACAAGCAAATTTCATGGTTGTACTAATTAAACAGAGAGGACTTACATTTATACAATGAATCAGTACCTTGAAGGGATTCTAAAGAAATTATTTCATGGTTATACTAATTAAACAGAGAGGACTTACATTTATACAATGAATCAGTACCTTGAAGGGATTCTAAAGAAATTATTTAGATTTTTTACTGTTTTAAAAATATCCATTCCAGGTTAAATAAATCTCACATTAAAAAACTTTAAAGGAAAATTGCTTTTATTATAGTCGCAAAACACAAAAATACCAAATGAAAAAAATGTGTAACAAAAAGTAAAAAATAAAACAAATATAAAAAACTTTAATAAAAGCTCATGATATCGCTTGCATATTTTAGCAGCTAAAGCTTTCATAAAAGTTTTTTACATTTGTTTTTAATTGTGTTACTTTTTTCTACATTTTTTTAAATTGGGATTTTTTTTTTTCTTTTATTTGTGAATAAATATAGATCTAGTTAAAGCTTTTTTCTTTAAAATAAAATGTGTATGTGAGATTTATTTTCCACTACATTAACCTACTACTTAAAAATGTTTGCATTAAAATCCATCCGGTAGCTATTAATCTCTAAAATGGTAGCTTTTATTTATACTTTTAATCTCTAAAATTGAGTTATCTGTACCCAATTAGTTCGTGGATGGCGAAAGGGCACGAAATCAGCCTACTGTGAACTGAAAAAAAGTTCTCCCTCAACAGCCCACTGACCAAGCGCTGGCTAGCATTTTTTATCTTGTTTTCTCCCCTTTTAATATTGATTAAAGTAGACAAAAATTGAATGATAGGAGGGGTTGTCGTGGTCGAGTCGGTAAAAGCTCATGGTTGCTAAACCGAAAAGTCTCGAGTTCGAACCCACTGGCAGATGAGGCTCGTTAGCTGGGGACAGCAACTCCTCTAGGAGAGACAACTCCAAAATCAAACAACTGCTGCCTTGTAGTTTGTTCTTGGTTGGACAAAGGCTATGGAAGCAAATTCAAAAAGAAAAGCAGGCTGAAATCGGAGTCAATGGCCTCAATGGCGCATAACCAGTTGACACGTATCCTTAATTGTGTTGGAGGGGATCACTTCCAACACTAAAATTAAGAACGAAGAAGAATGATAGGAAATAGGGCTAAATTAAATTATTTTAATGGACTCCAACAAATATGAAAGGCTTTTTCTATCATTATTGTTAACATGGATAAAAATTGACACCAGCCAATAAAACATAAGTAACATACACCTAGGGAGCAGTTGTGCTGCCAAAAATTCTACTAAGCCCTACTCCCATTTCATATAGATTACATTATAGAAATAGAACTAGATCTACTAGTGGCAACTTTAAGAGTAGAGTAAGGCGTACAGTCGTACGCTAATAAATTTTAATATTGGATCTACAAATATATTCTAGATCTAGATTTTATAGAATAGTTAGATAAGGTATAAAACTCACTAATTCTAATCTTATGCTTATTTTATGCTACTAGAATCTAGATCTAGAATCTACCTACTGTAACTTTAGTAATAGTCAACATTAGAACTTCAACTTTAAACTCACTTTAGACTGAGTGTAGACTCAGGGAGTACTTTTCTAGACCCCTAGTGATTTGGATTTAGTGAGTAAACTTCAGTAAACTAAGTACTAAGTATTACTATTAAGTATTAAATAATTAACTAAGTAAACTTCTAACAGAACTTTTTATTTTAGCAAAAAGGAACAAGGAAATATATTGAAAATTGCATGTAAAAAAATCCCAAACCAGATTTAGTTTGTTTTCTATTCTTATCTAGATTCTAGATCTAGACTCTAGATCTAGAATCTAGATCCAGAACCCAAAAGAAAAACAAACAAAAAATTTTGTTTTTGACTCACTGAGTGAAAAAGATGTGATTTTGTCTTACGATCTTTCTAACAATTACTAACATCTAAGCAATAACTTTCCTCCCTCCTCTTGTTTACTAACCACGTTTACTCTTTAAATAACTAAACAAAAATGCAATCATTTAGCAAAGGGAAGTTATAGAACTTAATACTAACAAACCTGTCAATTCAAAGCATTTTGGAAAACAAAATTTCCGTAGGCGACCTAAGATTTGTTTTTTCCTATTCAGCCCTTCTGACCTCGGGTTGACAATAGATATTTTTAACTTTGCCAAAAATAATTAAAAAGCTAGACACAGATACACGACTCTATTTTGAAAAGGAAAGCGAAAGTACGATTGATCAGTTAGCAAAGATTAGAGTTAGAGAATCTAGATCTAGATCTAGAATCTAGAATAATTTTGATTTTATATTTTAATATAATATATAGATCTAGGTCTAGATCTAGACCTAGTTCTAGTTTACATTTTATTTTTAAAAAATAGGCTGTTAGTTCTAAATCTATTTATTTAGTGAATTTAATTTAGGTTTTTAAAAGTTTAGAACTGTGAAGTTAATTATTAATTAAAGTCACAAGTGTAAACCTCTTCTGAGCTATCTGGCCTGGTATCTAATCTAGTCTAGATCTAGATTAGATCTATATCTATTATCTAATCTAGCAAGACTAGATCTCAGATCTATCTATGCAACGTAGGATACTCAACAAATGGAAACAATACAAATATCGTTTTGTACCGTGGCTCATTTTAAATATGAAAGACAGGTAGGTAAGATAATTAATAAATGAATGTGGTGAGAAAAAAAAGTAAGTTAACCAATAACATACTAATACTACCTATCGATTTACTGTAATTGAGTTAATTCATTAATTGTTAGCCTACTTTGTTATTATTTTGTGTATGCAAAACATCGTAAATGTTTGTTTTCTTTTTTGTTTGACGTCGTTGTTTTTTTTTTTTTTTTTATATTTTTTTTCCAGTGTCAGTACTGACCTTTAATAACAAGCTTATTATTATTACGCCTGTGATTTATGTAACGAAGCGTAGGAAGGGGGGGGGGGGAGTGTCAGAAAGTGTGAAATCACATTTTTTTTCTTTTTAATTTTTTTTCTAATGAATAGGCCTACATGATTAGCAGGTGTTTTTTTTAATTTACCTTCAACCCCCCCCCCCCCCCACCCCATCATATTGAGAATTGCTTGAAAGCAAGTTTCTTCCAGGCACCCCCCCCCCCCCCCCCCCGAAGAACGCCTACAGCCCCCCCCCCCCCCCCCTCGAACGAAATTATATAGAAAATATATACTTCGACCATTGTCGTCGCCCCCCCCCCCCCTCCCCGGAGTTAAAAAAGTCTGGAAGAAACACTGCTTGAAAGTGCCATTGCATTCCTGGACTTATGGGTTACACCTGTCTTCGCAGTACATCGTTACCCCACAACGTATTTTTCCGAAGCAACTGGCGGTGACGTTTGAAATGTAAAATATGTGAACTCACCACCACAAGACCGGCAAGCTGTTGCTCCGTAGAATGTGTCACAACTGGATCACGTGCGTTTTACTGGCGCTTTTACTTAATTATAGCCTCAATTAATTAGATCTGGGTCATAAGTTTTCGGGGTTGATTATATCTCGGTCAGAAAAAACACAAAGCGTTTGGATAAACTTGTTAATTTTTGCTTTCCTGTTTGATGGCGTTTGGTTTCGGTTATTGGGCTACTGATTCAACACCTTATTAAAACTGTGATAGGATCGAATACATATTGTATAGCACAAAAATATTATATTTTTCCATACCGCAGAGGCGTAGCGACCCCTCCCTGCGCCCGGGGACAAACTTTTCGATTTGCACCCCCCCCCCCCCCTCAAACTTTCGATTTGCACCCCCTCCCCCTCAAACTTTCAATTTGCACCCCTCTCAACCTTTCAATTTATTTTTCCAACCCATTTTGGCGCCCCCTGAGGTCGGCTCCCGGGGACATATGTCGTCGTCCCCGCCCGCCACCCCCCCCCCTCGCTACGCTACTGCCATACTGACCCCCAACTAGCTTTATATAATATTTCCATAGACGGTTATAACGCGCGACTGCTGTACCGAAAGTCTCAGGTTCGAATCGAGTCCGCATGACGTCCTTGAGTCCACCATATTAAAGACATTTGAGTCCACAATGGCACGTCCCCAAGTCCACTGTAGGACGCCCCTGAGACAACTGTGGGACCTCCCTGAGTCCACTGTAGGACGCCCCTGAGACCACTCATCGAGGACTGATAGGCCAGCCTGACTCATCTTAAAGAAAAGAAAGGCGGCCGGGCATGGAACAGAACATACTATATTCCCTTATATCCCAAGGTCACTAAAACAGAGGAACTCAACTTCATCAAATTCATAAATTTTAAAGTGTACAACTACCCCCTCCTTACGCAACGAGTGTGTCAGTCTACTATCTTTTAGACTTTTTTTCTTTAACAAGAAAGAGAAACACCATATCATAATAGTAAAAAAAAAAAAGGTCTTTTACAACATCACCACAAACAGTTGTGGAGAAATATTCAATTGTGTTAAAAGAAATAGCTGATACGTTGAGGGAGGGGGTGAGAGGGGATAACACAAACTACTTTACTTAACTCGGAAAGGGGGGGGGGGGGAAATTCAGTGTTTCTTCAAGGATTTTGTTTCTCGGGGGAGGGGGCACTTGATGAAAAGATGCCTGGAAGAAACACGTGTGTGTGTGTGTGGGGGGGGGGGTCTGATTTGTTTAGGTTTTTCTTTAAATACGACGTTTCCAACCGGTAAATCAAACGGAACTAAATTGCAGTTGGGCGTATGGTTTCTAGATCTAATATGTATTTCAACAAGTCAACAAGCAATGCAATCTCTAAAAAAAATAATTATATATATAAATAAAATCTTACCTTTTAGCTTTATCTAGACATACAAACAATATCTTCACATAGGCTACCCTATTGTATTGATTATTGATCCCCAGTGGGTCACGGTCACCTATACCTCACACATATATCACACACATATACTTAACACGTCCATTTCACGCCTAACTACGTTGAACTCAGTTGTCACCGCTAGCGTCTAAAGTGCACAACACGGGGAGATAACCAAATATTTTGAACGATAGCATGTTGACAAAATAGCTTGTTTTTTTCTACCTCTTTTAATTTTTACTAGTGACTATAGAAATGATGAGTAATATGAAGGGGGGGGGGGGGGGTGTAGTGTTTAATTAATTGTAGAATGTTGATGTCATTAGGGGGCGAATCAGCATACTTGTCAGGCTGTACAACAGAAGGCTGAAATTTCGAAACTGCTTTTCCTGTAGGCAAGGGCCTGTACTATATAGATCTAGACCTTGATCACTTTTGAGATCTGTTTTTTTTCTTATAAAAAAACTAAATCACAAATTTAAATGTATCAGCGTTTGATAATCGTATATAATATGACTGTCAACGAGTTTACTAATGTTGTACCCTAATGGTCTAAAATAATAGTTAAATAATGTAACTTAATGCAATGGTACGATAGTGTTTGCCTCTGACTTACGGGGACAACGTTAAATCAACAAATATTCGTCTCTCGCGTGAAACTAAGTCATGGGCAAGATAAGCTTTGATAATAATAAAGCTAGCAACAGTAAACAGAATGTTATAGAACTGTCACTGAATAATTGGCGTAGCCAGGAATTGCTCATGGGAGGGGTTCAAAAATGTTTCCATATTTCCATACGTATATAATCTCTTATATATATTTATATATATATATATATATATATATATATATATATATATATATATATATATATATATATATATATATATATATATATATATATATATAGGGGTCGGGGTCCATGGGAGGGGTTATAATCCCCCCCCCCCTTGCCTAAGCCACTGCACTGAATCCATGTCCGGACTGAGGACTTAGATTTTAGATCTATGTGAACTTTGAAACTTTGTAGTAACAGGCACGACTAGTGTTTCTTTCGGGCATTATCCGATGGTCCCTCCCCTGGAGCACGTCGACGACACAAGAAATAAGTGCAATTCACTGCATGCAGTTTAGTCTTTAAGTTATAATATTAGTCAATAGTTAGGTCAGATAAACATTAATTATAATTAGATAATTAGTTATGCCTACTCTACAATAACTAATTATATACTTAATAAACTCTCTAGGGGTCGTCCATAAATGACACCACACTCATAGGGGGAGGGGGGGTCGGTAATTTTGTGACGGTGTGTGATAAGGGGGAGGGGGGGTGTTCAGATGGTTTGACGTCACACTTTTGCATTATAAAAAAGCAATGTTAGAAAATTTTAGCCGTTATTTCGCGTTTTAGAAAACTGTTTTAATAAATTGTAATAGGAATTGATTAAAAAACTCAATTTTGAAAGGGTTCAGACAAGATTTTGGAGAAATATCGTATTTTAAGAAAAATTCAACTGCAATTTTGAGGGGGGGGGGGGGGGGGGGGCAGGGGTTGTAGGCTGAGGTGTGACGTCATTTTAGGGGGGGGGGGTGGGAGTCTGGCTTTTTTTTTTGAAGATGTGTGAAGGAGGAGAGTGCGGGAGGTAAAAACCGTCAGAAATAGCGTGACGTCATTTATGGATGACACCCCCCCCCCCCCCACCCCTTATTGATATGCAATACACAGTCAAAACATGAATACAGCCTTATTTAATTTTTTTTTTAAACTCGCATCGACCACTAATCTCGCCTGTTGATTTCGAAGTTTTTATTTGTTCAAACTGTCCTTGTTATTGTTATCTCGTTATACTTTTCATGATTCTTGTAGTTCTTATTTAAGAAATTAAGTTGTCTCCCTTGGCTCATTTTTTTTTATTTTTCGATAGCTAGAAGAATGATAGCTGTTTCACTTCAAAAAACAGCTATTGGCATTGGCTTGCCTGTTTTCCTGCTTATTCCATCGATCACCTGGCTAAGCACAAATATATCAATACATATACATAAATATGTATAGATCTATGCATATCAATATCTACATATACTTGTATATATCATACATCAAGTATCATTAATTTTAAGACACTATTTATTTAATTTTTACATATACTTGTATATATCATAGATCAAGTATCATTTTAAGACACTATTTATTTCATTGTTTACATATACTTGTATATATCATAGATCAAGTACCATTTTAAGACACTATTTATTTCATTTTTTACACATATTATAAGGAAGTAGATTATTTTTGTCTGACTGAAAGCAAATATACCAACATGCTTGACATCACATCTGGCCCTTTACTTGAGGAAAACAAGATGACTCAAACCAACCAAACAAGGTTAATCATCTTAAAATTTTCATACATTTTTCAGGAGTGTGCGATCTGTTTCAGAGAGTGAATCAGAAGTGATTTCTGAGAGTCTCTTCATCTCGTACCTCTATGGGTTCTTAACTAAACTTCATCAACAGTTAAATAATGGAGCGGAGGTAAATAAACTTGAAAAAAACAAAAATATTAAAAACCTAACCCCATAACAAAAACTCGCCAACGTCACTAGTTCAGAGTATTTGTATTATTTACGCCACATTGTTTCATATTTTCATTCTAAGATGGAGAAGTACATGACGGGTCTTAAGGTCATGAAAGAAATCACTGGCTTTACTGTAGAGCGTGCTCCAACCAGTCTTTCATCTGGTGGTCAAGGTGTCAAGGTCACCAGTGGTACCATTCAGCCATGCACCATTACAAGTCTATACCCAGGTTAGTTGAAAATTTTCTTTATGTTAAATATGGAATGGCAAGGTTGAGTACAAGATTGCTAGCCTGAAAGTTTCTAATTGAAGTAATAGGATTGTGGGCTTAGGATACTCCAAAGTAACTCAACTCTATTAGATACCCAACTTAGGTCATGGAAAGTTAAGCTGTGACCACACAATACCTAGATAAACTGAGGTCAAAAAAGTGGATGAACTCTACATTTTCTGAACTATGGACATTAAGGTTTAAAAGAGTTCTTTATTTTATACCAAGTTGTTTATGGTATTATTGTGAAGAGTATGATAAATTTTGATACATTTGTTTAATGTATTTCTTTTTCAGGTTTGATTTATGAACCTCATGAGCCAATTCTGTTTCAAAGTATTGGAAATTCATTTATATTTCGCTGTGCTGATGGGGTGTTATTGGATGGCAATGATAAAGGACTCTCAAAGTATTTGTACAGGTGAGTCTTTCTACCCTGTTTCATTATTCTAATTTATATACAAACATTTATTTTATTCAAAATTAGAAATAACTGCTGGTAAATAGTTTGGTATAGTACCTAATGCTATATTAAGGCCAAAAAAAATAGTTGAGAATATACAAAAATTGTAATTGTTTACAAATTTAAAGGAAGTAAATAGTGCAACTAATTATTGTAATAAGAAATAATTCTAAATATAGGACCAAATTTCCTTTATAAAGGCAATATTTGTTTTATAAGAAAACTGTTGAATAATTTTTTTTAACATAGATCATGTCGAGGGCGAGACAGTTGCTGGCCTTTACCTGCTTGTGATGATAGCTGGTTAACAGAACATACCATCTGTCCTCTCAATGTAGGGCAGTATGTCAATAACCATAACAAACGTATGTAGCTGCAACTATATTTTGTTTGACTACTTAAACTAAAATATATAAGTAGGCCCTATATTCACTGTGTAGTTTAAATTTATATTTTTTTAGTGTTTTTTATATCATAAATCTGTTTGAATTATCAAAATATTTTAATTGGTTAATGTAATTATTAATGGTTTTGTCAAAAAAAAGATATGGGAATGTTCTTTTAATGCGGTATTATTTAAAGGCACATAATTAGTTATATAATTTCCCAGTGCCTGTTTCCACTCCTTTCTTGTTGTCCAAATCAGCTCAAGCTGATAATGACATAACTCATCTATTCACTGTTATGACCAGAATACCCAGCCAATGTGGCATATCAAGAGTTCAACATCCCTGAAGATTTTCCAGCCCACCTCAGACAGTATCTACCCAACAATCACAGCGCATCCTGTCTATCCGTCCCTGAAGGTACACAGAGGTAAAAACCATTCTCTGACTCATAAATAACAATCCTAGCTCATGCTACCTATCAGTAGATGAGGGTGCACAAAGGTAAAAACCATTCTCTGCCTCTCAAATAATTGCTCTTCATAGCTAACAAATATGTTAACATATTACAAACGTTGAGTATTTCACTCATGACAAAGCACCATAGTATTTTAGAAATATCTGTAACTGTAATTTTCTATGAATCATCTCTCTACAGGTTGCTAAGGGTTGTTGCTCTTGTCTCTCTAAAAGAAATCAAATGTGGTGAAGAATTATTTTCATCTTATTTTACAGTAGTACAATAAATTTACATTCAAATTTTTTTTAAATTTTGTCAGAAAATTTCTTATACTTTTCTTTATTACTGTAAAGCAGTTAAGTGCCCCTTTGACCAAAGAGTCTACTGGGCAGATCAAGTAATGTTAATTTGTTTATCTGGCCATGACATGAAGAGATTGCACTAGGCTTACTTCCAATAACAGAGTTTGGATGAAGATAATTGTTATCAAGGTTTGAACTCAAACCCTTTGGTTTAATAATAATGTGCCCAACTTCTTCACATCTTGCTTAAAAATGAGGTATACATTTATCACTGTTACTAGTGACAAAGTTATTTAGAAAAAGAAATGAACAGATTATTGGATGTGGAAAAAAGTATCAGTAACTATGTAAAAAGTGTTGTGTTGGTCAATAGATTTATGTGACTACGGTTTACTTCCCTTATTTACTTCCCTTGTATTAGGCATACAATGTGTTTTTATGTAGCTATCACGTAACTAATAAGCTTTTAAGAACTGAGAGAGCTTAGGGGTGCCCTGAAGTTTTAGAAGAAACCGGGTGACTTACAAAATGAAGACACAATAATTAACAGTGACGAAAATTTCACACAATTTTATTTATACCATTTTGTAAAAACTAAAACAACAAAAAGTAGGGTGTGAGTGATATTTTTTTTTATTTTTAAAGATGTAATAATATAAAAAATTTAGCTATGGATATTTTCTACAAGAAAATATAACCTTTACATTATGTTGTATCAAATGTCAAAATACAAATTTTTAAAATAAATGTTAAATTTCTATGTAAAATCATGAATAATTTAACTTTTAGTTTACAAACAATTATCACAACTATTGTTTTCTGTTCCTTTTGGGAATGAAATTTTAAAAAAAAACTTATTTCTTTTATAATTTTATTGTGGAACATATAATTTAATCAACTGCATTTTTACAAAATATTAAAAACTGTTTAACATATCAATAACATCAGTATATTAGTACTGTACTCAATAACAGTAATTTTTTCAAAAAATGAAATAATGTAAATAAAAAAAACTACTTAAAGATATCACAGCATAACATGAGATTCATGCTATGTGGAGGATCTAAATATTTGACAATAATGTCCCTTGAATACCTCATGCAGGTCAAACAAATGAAACAAACAAAATCCCTGATATTTTGACAAGTAATAAATAAAACTACTACTGTATACACTAATTTATTTGCCAACTTTTGTACGAAAATATTGCAGATGGGGGAGGGGTGTACTTATGAATAGGTGAGGTAAAATTTTTATAATTTGTTTAGGGAAACCAAATATTAAATTGATGGTGCTATACAATTTGGTGACCTTTTGTATAGAAATCTGAATTTTTCCCCAAAAAATTAGTAGTATTGGCTTATAGAAAAGTTGGCTTTAGTGAAAGTTAATACAAGTCATCATGATTTTTTTAAACAGCTAAAAATTACTCCAAAATACATGGTTACATTAAAATGTTTAAATGATGAATGAAACTTGAAAGACTGTAGGATTCAATTGTAACAAACATCAGAGCAATTACACTGGTGTAAACATATTTTCTAAGTTAAATAAAGAAAACATTTTTTATTACAACTGAAACACAGCACAAATTTGTGTAACCAGTATCACAACAGTATCAAACTTTAGAGTTTAAGGTCCAGTCATAGTCAAGGTAGACAACTTTATAGTTGTTGGTCTCCATCACTTGCTTGAGGTCATCCAGCTTTTGCCCTTCACCCATGTGACATGACACAAACTCTACAACCTGAAACAAAATAACGAATCAAGTTTTAAATGGATACATGTTACTGCTTGATCAAAAATAGATTTGTAAAAAAACATTTTACTGTTTCCCAAATTAGGTATTAAAATACTAATAAATACTAAAAAATCACATTATGTTTTCATTTTAGAACATTTGATCAAATTCCTTTGCTGTATTTTTTTCAAAAGGATAAGTGTGAGTGTTAAAGATAGTAATAATAGAAAGTTAAGCGAGGGGGTTGGACAGCTAGAATCACTCAAGAAACCCTGTTGTTAGTGTGACCTTAAGATTGATGTAAAGTGGTCCTTGCAAGCTGGATATAGACTTTTCCTTACTCTAAGACCTATGTCAACAGCAGCCATATATATACTGAAACATTGGAAATGAAATTTGAAAAAATTTCTTACCTCCTTTTTGTTTTTACCAAAGTCCACTTGGAACCATTTGAAAATAGCAGACAATTTAATGGTGTTACTCTTCAAATCTACTTGGCAAGCTTCATCACTATCTAAAAAAGCAGCAGCTGACATCTGTAGTTCACTGTATATATTCTGTAAGACAACATTGTAGTTAGTAGTAGCAGCAGTAGCAAATTACTGTTGGATTTAATGGCCCAAGCAAATGAAATAGAACATGTTTTTTGACCTCTTCATAAAAAGGGATTATAGGGTCATAAGTGTTAAGAGACTCACTCTATTTTTCTGTGGTATGGATTTAGTTTCATCAGTTAAAGATTTAGGAATATAAAACAACCTGTTAAAATGTATATAACAAATACAAGGGTATAATTTCATGACTTACCTGGGCGGTATAAGTTTTTATAGGGGGACAACTCTTAGCTCCACATACAAGGGCAAAATGAATTAGAGGCTCGTGCCTTGTTAAGGCAACTTTTAGTCTGGGATCATCTTTATTAAATGGATTTGAGATCTGACCTGATGTAGAATATTCAATAAGTGATTCATTCATTTTTTTTATTTATTATATTTTACTCTATTTGTCAATCAACTATACAAAATGGGCAAAATTGTTTGTCTTAAATTAGTTTAAAACTTACCAACACCCTTTCTATTAGCTCTAAGAACTCCATTTTCAATATCTTGTAGAGAATAAGCATGACCACTTATAATGTACCTAGTGCTGTTAAAAAACTAAAACAAAGTTAATAAATATAGTTTTTATACATAGCCATTATGAGGTATCAAACTTTTAATTGCAATCTACTTTCATTTTGTCAAACGATAAAAAAATGTGTAAACTATTATTACTCACTTTGTAACGTCCCCATAAATTTGTAGGTGGTCCCCTTTCAATATTGGCATGGATGACCAAAGCATTGTAAATGTTGATGAAGAATGCCAGCTTTTCTTCTCTTGTGGAGTTCTCTATATCAACTCTTATCAGCTCCCTTGTCATAGTTTTGTACAGTTGAAACTCTTCACTTGCTTTAATTCCTTCATAGTCAACAGCCTGTACAAATAAAAATCTGTGTTAGACTACTATGAAAGACTGCATCTGTACTATGGAGAGAAACAAGTTTTAAAAAAACATAACTTTTGGACCAACTCAGTGTTCTAAAATCTCTGTTGTGATAAAACTATTTGAGAATTGGTTCCATATTTTATATTTTGCACTTTTTAGCATTCTGACCAAAATATGTAGTCAGTTCTGCCTCTATGCCCATTGAATGGAATATAATTAGTTTGTTCTGTTCTTTATAATGTGATTTAGATGAGAGCATTTCACATATGTTATGTTTTGAAGTTCAATGTTGAACAAACCTTTCCATCTTGAGACAAAAACACTGAATACAGGTTGAGAACCATCTTTCTTAGCAGTTCACCAACTTCATTGGCTGTAAATTAAATATTTGAGTTTATTTTCATCTCTTAAACAATGTTTACTGCCAGATTAATATTTGGATTTTGATGTACAGGTATTTGCTTGATTTATATTCAAATCATATAATTGGAAATAGTTTAGTTCTTTAAAATTATAGGTTATCAGTATAAACGCAACAAATTCATGGAAAAAATAGCAAAATATTAATTGCGCGGTTTGTTCTTCAACATACTAAAATCTGATATGAGCAATACAATGCCTACATGAATTCAATGATAATTAAACCATTTGAAGAGAAGATGCAATAATTTCTTTTAAAACAAGAGCTACCTGTTTTTGGAAGACAATCAGATACAGGTCCGTTATTCAAAGCATCAGTCTCATCATCTTCAATAAGAACAAACAGATCTTGTCCTACTGAAAATTGTGGGTTATGATTCTGTGACTTTACAAAGCGTCGATCTAGTAAAGCTTGGCCCATCTCAATAGCTTTACTTTCATCTGTGGTTAATAAAAAACATGAAACTGTTTTATGAAGGTGAACTGTTGCTATTGATATTATATTTCTGGACTCAGAGAAGAATATTCTTTTAAGTAAAAAGGTTGATTTCATCTCTCTTATTGTTAATTTTACTGTTGCTATTATTACCTAAACCTTTTTTCTCAACTACCCAATTCAGAAAATCTTTGCCACTAAAAGAATTTTTCTGGGATTTGAGAAAACTCCAGTTTGTTCGGATCAAATTATCTTTTTTCATTTCATTTACAAGTAGAAAATATTCATCTGGTTCACATTTAAAATTGAATGGATCTGAGGAAAAAAAAATAAAACATAATTTCCAACACAGAGAATATAAAAATATTTTTTTTACTGTAACTAGTAACTAATCATATCTTCTATGAACTTTCCTTAAAGATCTGAAGACCAAAATAGGGTAATAATAAATCTGGAACACTGCATTAATTATTGGATGTTTATATTTATATCACTAAACTATGGCATGAAACAAAACTGGATTATTCCCCTTATCCCTGCACAACCCTTCTAATCTACAAAGTTAAGAGCCGTAGGTTTAAAATTAGAGCCTACCACAAAACAAAAATCTTATCCCTACAAATTGGCTAAGTAAAGTAGATAAAAATACCGGCATCAGATACAGCAGAATTGGGATCAGGTATAACATGTGCATCTGCAGGACATAGATTATTCACAACTTGGTTGAGGGCTTCTTCAAGCTGCTCTTTGTTATGAAGCTGAAAATCCATTTATAAAATATGTTGTGTTAACTTTTTACAATACATCAAAATGAAAGCTGAAGACAGTCTACAAATTTCAACATTAAGCCAAAAACTTTTGTACTTAGCAAATCCTGACCTTAAATTATGATTAAATCATTTAGCCTATAATCAGACCTTAAGTAAGCTATGTGTTAAAAGCCACTTCCTTTTATTTATTGAATTTATTTTTTCATTATTTTATCATTAAGCAGAAATAAAATCTGATTGGTTGGTGGGCAAATGTGTAGGGTATACACAGCCAAAATATAGGGGCCCTAATGCTGCTACCGTCAGCTTCTCCTCAAGTCCTAAACCCACAACTGGCAAATGCAACCAAACAGAAGGTCTATCATAAACTATTTACTGTATTAATTATATATTATGTAATAGATCTAACTGTCACTAACATTTGGTAAGTTAAAGATGGAGTGTATGCATAATAATTAAAAATGGAGTGCATGCATAATAATTTGAATATTAATGATTCATATGATACATAGTACATACCAACTGTGTTAAATTATCGTTTCCTCCGATTAATCTCTCATTGAAATATATTTGTGGCACAGTCCGCATCCCACTTCTCTTCATCACTTCATCTTTAATATGAGGGTACAAATCAAGTCTTATATCCTTAAATGGCAAACCCATTTCTCTTAATGACTTTTTTGCTCTCATGCAGTGAGGGCAGCCTAAAATTGAGTAAACCACTACCTGTCCCTTTATATTCTGTATTGAAGGTTGTTTATTTTCATCCATTTTGAAAATTGTACTGTAAATGTTACGTTTAAATGGCTTAAATAATTTATTGTAAGGTTCATAAAATAAGATCAGCGACGACCCCAGTGTTATCCGCGTCTTAATAAACTTTGATTTGCATGAGGTGGGCGGGGCACACTGTGTTTTTATTTTTGACCCATTTAAATTAAAATTTATTGTGTAAAAATGTCTCAGGAATTTGCATTTTCCATTGTTAGATCTAGGTACTAAAAAATGTAATTTAAATGTCAAACAATAACTCATGCTTTATTTTGATCTAGCCTAATTGTAGAGCAAAAGTCATTCTAACTCAACACCACACGCTGTGGATAGAAAACATAATAATAAAATAAATATGAAATAACACATCGCTCTTTCATTTTAAAGTTTTAAAAAATTAGGCCTAGAATGTTACGAAGGGTTTTGCTAAAGCAAAAAAGTCAAAACTGTTAGAAAAAGCGGAACAAAACATGATATGTGATCAAATAAGCCTTGGCCTACGTGAAAAAGAACGTATACAATTTTCAAAGCATTGTGTGCAATTTCAATTTTGCCCCAAGATCTAACGCACATTTTAAAATAGTGTCGGTGCCCGCTGATTATTTAGCAACTGTCCTAAGCAATGGAGGCAGAGCACGGTTTCTTTCAGACATTTTTATTCCGGGGGAAGAGGACTCGAAACTTACAGGGCAGGGCGCACTCAACAATTTTCGTATAAGGTCAGAGTTTCTTCCAGGCATCTCTTCGGGGGGGGGGGGGGGTCAAAGCCCCCCCGAGAATTTTTTACCGCCCCCCCCCCCCCCCCCCCCCCGAACGAAATGAAATTTATATAATTTATATAGAAAATATATACTTTTAACAGTGTCCGCCCCCCCCCCGAAGAAAGTTTACCGCCCCCCCCCCCCCCGAAAATTTCAAGTGCCCATCGGAGAAAAACGTCTGGAAGAAACACTGTATAAGGTGGGGTGGGGGAGGGACGAACATAGGTTAAAGTATTTTTTTTTTCTATGTCGTCTGAGGGACTGGATGTGTTGCGGGGGTTAGTTGTGTCACTATGGATGGTGAAGGGTAAACTTGAGAGTGGATCGTGTGTAATGATGAGTTATTATGGCGTTCTTATATTGGTATTCTTTATTTAGTCTGTTTTCTCGTAGAGCTTCTCAGTGTATTCTCTGCATAAGCTATGCACAGAGGCGTAGCTACGCATCTGTCTTCGTCAACTTGTCTAATGATATCTAGGCATTATAAGCATATATAAGCGTTTTAGTTTTTTAATTACTCCACAATGGCAGGCGTACACATAACGTTATTCAACTGATTCTTGTTTAGGATGTAAGGCCATAAGTCAAGCGAATATTTCCGACCTGTCAGATCTTTAATATAAAAACAACTCGTTGAGATGAACATTCGTTCAGCAACACTAGGAACATGTCTGAACTAACACCTGCACTAACACATGCCTGATCAAGCAGAGGGAGGGGAGATGCAGTCATCCCTCCGTACTGCACCCTTCTAGTGCACTCACCCTTCCCCATCCAGTGGGGGGGGGGGGGCGGACTACAAATTTTATTTTCTTTGTAAATTCCATTCTGTTCGGGGGGGGGCGGTAAGTGAAATTACTGCCCATGTCTTAGTACTGGATTTTGTATCGCCATAATAAATTACTTAATTTGCATAGTTCGTTCAGTGTGTGTTAGAATAAAGAAATAATTCCTGTTACCGAATCCCATCATTCTCATCGATTGCTAGCACGTTTATAGCAGGGAAAACATTGAACTGCATAATATTAATTATGCTTATTAACTCGAGCAAACCAGGTTGCACACAAAGGAGGCTGATTCTGGGGCTTTCATGCTTGAAATCTTCTTTGGCAATCCATGCATATAAATTGTGACAGCTGTTTTATTATATTTAGGCACGATCGTATTTAGGACAATTCATTTGTCTACAAAATATACATATAGGCCCATGCGGACCCCACCTTGCCTTGTGACACAATCTATTTTACGTTACGGCGTAATACATAATAATACAGTACAGTAGCAATACACAATCCGGAGGTATAAAATACAAAATGTACATTATTTAAAACTCCTCTATCGTAAGTAGCAGTCGGATATTTTCGCTGCCCATGTTTAACTCCGTTGTAGCCTAACAGCTGACGAAAGGGCCCACTGATAAGTTTTGCATAGGGGCCCGAAAATCCACTGGACACTAAGAATAAAGTATAGTGACGTGGCAGGGGGTGACATGAAACAAAACCATCCATCCCATGTGCACATGCTGCATTCTTAACATATGACAATACTTTTTTTGCTTCAGAATAACAACTTTTTATTAGCAGTCAAATAAAAGTAAAGTAAACATGGACGAAAGATTGCACAGAAATAGAGACTGGTTCACGTGGCATTGGCAGAGGCGTAGCGACCCTTCCCGGCGCCCGGTGACAAAATTTCAAAATTTGCCCCCCCCCCCCCCGCCATATATTTTTATATTTATAATGCAAAACTGTAGCTAAAATGAGCTTCTAATTTATTTTTTTTCAAACCCATTTTGGCGCCCCCTAGGGTGGCGCCCGGGGACATATGTAGCCCCTTCGCTACGCCTCTGTGCATTGGATTTTGTTGTGAAAACAAACACTGGCAAAAAGAAATGAAACGAGTCGTTGATTTAGCAGGTCACCCTATCCAGGTCGTCACCGGCTTTCTCCACACAGTCCCAGGCATACATGTGGTCACAAGGCGGGGTCTCAAGGTAGTCGACTCCATTGGCGAAGACAATGTACCGTGCGGCGAAGTCGATGTCTTTTTCACATTCATCTTTCACGGTTCGGCGAGTTAGGAGAGGTCTGTTTGAAGGAATGTTGCCCTTGTAGACTTTGGTGAGGGCGAAGATTGATGTATAGTGGGACACCTGGAATGGAGAGATTAAATCCAGAGTTTCATCCAGGAAGAACTTCTACAGCCCCCCCCCCCCCCCTCGAACGAAATGGAATTTATATAGAAAATATATACTTTTACCAGTGTCCGCGTCCCCCCCCCCCCTCCCCCGGAAATTGTATAGGTTAGATGAGATGCATAGACCTCATTCTGCTGTCGTGTATTCAACCATGATTATAAAGTAAAAATAACCTTTATATAGGCCAAGTATCGTAAAAATTACACCATAATTTATGCAATTTTTACAAAAGGTTGTATGTTACTTGTTTAATGTTTCCTGTTCAATTATAGTATTATACCTATACAACAATTATTCAATTTTAAATAGCATAAAATATGTTCTTACAAGATTTAAATGCACTACAAATTAGGTTTTTAAAAATTTCTTAATTGCTGCAATTTTTTTCAATAACTTTTCTCGACAATATAACTCACTTGTAAGACACAACATGTGATATAAATAAAACTTACTTGATTTCCGTTCTCGTCTTCGGAGAGAGATGAACTACCGGAAGTCGGACGTCCCGTAAAAACAACATCAGCATCGCAGTACTTCTCACGGTACTCGTCACGGCTCAGCGGATAGTTGCAGTTGTCGTCTGCCAGAGCAAAGGACGCAACAAGGGCGGCTCCAAGCAAAAACTTGATCATGGTTCTTGGTCTGTAGAGAGCAAGTGTTTACACTGGTGGATTCTAATGCTTCCAGGCACCTCTACACCCCACCCCGGAGCACGTTTTTTTTTTCTAAATTTAAATGCTTGTCTTTTTTTTTTTTAAGTTAAGCCCAATTATCATCATCATTATCTTTTCCCGTTCGTGCCCGAGACACATGAAAAATGAAAATGAAATAGATCTCATCTATTTCAGTGACCTCGGAATATGAAGGGATAGAGTGGTCAACCGTGTTTCTTTTTTCCTACGTGAGTTAGGTACCCATCAGAGCTGGGTGGACTCAGTGACATTCTACTGACTTGAACCCGGATTCGAACTCGAGATTTTTCGGGTTAGTAGACCAGCTCTTTACCGCTAGACCATGTCGTCCCATTTATCATACAAATTGATAAACACATTAAGAGACAACACGTAAACAAAAGGTTTTGTTGGGGTCGTGTTTTGTGTTGTACTAAGATGTATCAAACCATAGTGTTAGCGTCTTTTGGTTCAGTCCGACCCAGGGTTTGTTCCCTTGGGTTTAGAGATACATACAAGGGTACTATGGGCAAGTCAAAATGTCAGCAAAAACTTGGACGGTCATCCATCTATACATCCTACATGGTTTTACTTAAGGCTAAGGGGGTCTTCATTCATCTATACGGCAAGTCAATGACGGAAGGGGGGGAGGTAGGAGGTGTTGTATGTGTGAAAATGTGAAAAACAAACATTGTAAGTTTTCGTTTGAATTTAGCGAGGGATTTTTAGGGCCTGATTTTTTCTGGTGCTGTGGAGAGGTTATGGCTATTTTTTTCTGATAAGATGTGTAAGTGAGGATTTAGGGAAAAACAGCTTTAGAATTTATATGGTTGTTGAATCACATATCTGCATCTAAGTAACAGACCTTTTACCGAGTATTAAAGCCCATAAAAAGATTAAATAAAGTCTTTGATTTATTTAACAGTCAAGGACGGAGTGTCCTAGCGATAGAAAGCTGGTCTGCCCACCCATAAGTCTCGAGGTCTAATCCGGGTTCAAGCCAGTAGACCGTCCCTGAGTCCACCCATCTCTGATGGGTACCTAACTCACGATAGGGTAAGTAAAAGCGGCTGCGCATATTAGTGTCGACCACACTATCCCTTCATATGCTGAGGTCACAGTAACAAGTGAACTCGACTTAACCTGCCCCGTAGCCCGTCAGGTTTGAAAGGGAACTTTACAAGGGCAGGATAAATAATCAAAACACTCTCCACTCAAAGAATATTTGTTATCCTTTCGTGTGTGGAGTGAGACACTAAGCATATATATCGGACACACAGCTGTAACCGGCGAAAACTTATTCGGCTAATCTGTACCTTGTTAGACATTTTGATACTGATTTTAATTTAAACTCAAACACTTATTTTGTTTAGTTTCTTTGAAAATGGTTTAAAAATGTATTTATATTTAAATTATTCTGTACGCTACAGTAAATTAAAGTTTACAACTGCGTGTATTATCCAGATGTTGCGGGTGTAAAAAGATTTCAAATACAACAGGGGAAATACTTGTGAAGATTTTAAAATTGGGTGCCTACAACATAGTCAAGTAACGGTACAAAGGGCATATTCAATGGAGTTCTAAACCTATTCCTTTGACTTTATAAGTGAATTTGTGATCATCACTAACTACAGTAATCTTTAATTTCTCAGACTAGTGGAGGGAACCCTTTAGGGCTGAGTAGACTCACAACCACGGGACCCACGCTACCTCACATCTTAGTGGCGAAAACATTTTCCAAAAAAAAACCCAACAACTTTTTTATACAATTATCCATTAAAATAATAACCTCAGTCATATGAAGTAATATTTTTACATACTGCAATATTTTGCTGTAAAATAGGTTGTTATTTAAAGTAATGTTTCTACTTAATGCAATATGTGCCTTAAAATAGCTTGTTATTTAATGTAATATTTCTACTGATCACACAATGTGCCTTAAAATAGCTTGTTATTTAAGGTAAAATATCTACTTACGGAAGCGTTGAATCTCTCGAGAACAATACGAGCAGGCTTGCAATCTGTGTCTTGATGACGAGCGCACAGCTCGAGTTTATATACACGTCGAGTCTTGAGTAGGTCAGGGCGGCTCAAAAAATAATACAAATTGCCCAACATAACAACCAACCATAATAGTGGCGTGTGATGAGAGGAGGTGGGGGGGTGACAAAAGGGCGTCGTAAACGGGGTGGGTGGGATATATTAGAGCCTAGTTTTGAGGGGGTGGAAGGGTCCAAAAGGGGTCGAGAATAGGGTGGGTAGTTTTAAATTAAGGCCTAGTTGTTGTTGTTGTTGTTTCTGACACGTTGGAGAAGTGTATGAAGGGCGTTATAAATGGGGTGGGTGGGTGTTTTTAAGGGTCTCATTTGTGTTGGGATGGAGGGATCTAGAATAGGACGGGTGGGTTTTTATTAGGGCCTAGTTTTTGTTGGGATAGCAAGAGGGGGTAGGGTAGCGTTATAAATGGGGTGGGGGGGGGGGGGGTTACTCAGGCCTAGTTTATGCTGGTGATCTCACACGTTTTTTTCATTGCCAACCTGCCGCCAAAGGTTGAACTCAACCTAAAGGTCAAAAACATAATGAGATGTTGTAGCACGGCATCACGACTGGGCGTGCTGGTTGCAGAACGTGAGTACCTAAAGTACGATCATTACATCCAGACTGCAAACATCATTTTAGTCGTTAGTTGTGGTTTAACATCGTGAGTAATTATCATGTCCGAGAAGTACGTCAATCATCGTTGGCCCTGGTGCCAGACAGTGTTTTAATGGGTGGGTAATTTGCGAACCAGTGAGTACCACCCAAGTCTCTCTGTTTTTGTATTAGTCACTCCAGCCGCCTGCTTAAATTTGTGTTTTGTAAATTTAATTCCAAAAAAAGTTGTCTTTTTAAATTAACATTTTGAATTAGCATCGTAATCCTTTTTAAATTGTGGCTTTACAATACGCACGTAGGCAGTGGCGTAGCGAGGTCGCCCCCCCCCCCCCATCGCTACGCCTCTGCAGGTAGGACCTATCTAGAGAGAAAAAAAAATTAAATTTTTATTTTGTAGGTTCACTTATAAAACTCATTTTATTCAATATTCGGGTGTGGGGTTGGAAAGGGCGGGCTCAGAGCATATTACATGATTTTAGCGGATTTATTTCCCAACCTTCAAGCCTGCAGTTGACACTCCTTGCAGCTTCATACCAAATGGGTTTTTAGTTCTTAGAACAAGCATTTGTTTATTAAAGAACGTCAAAAACGCATGCTCCACTTTTTTTTCTCCTCCGTTCTTAATTGAATTTATGTTGGAGGATTTAAACAAAAAGTCCAACTTTGTAGAGGAACTGGACTGTGGTCTCCACATCTGCAAGTGCCTCATATAGTTCCTCCCTATTTTTTTTTTTTTTTTTGGTTATCAGTTTAAAAATCATTCAGAAGTGGTAGAGGTACAACAAACGTCGCTCATTACAAAACTAGGACATTTTGGACGCACGTTGTGATTTTAAAATTAAATAATAAATCATCGCGTTTTTTTAAAAACATCATCTTTCACTTCCATCTGAAATTATTACTATTCTTTATGTTGTGTTAAGATAAGCGTATAAGATATTTTGTAAAAATAAGAAGAAAAAAAAACGATATCATAGCCCATAAGTCATCTCTATAACCCACCCCACCCCTACCAAGCAGCCCAACAAATGACATACCACCCCATACCACCCCATACCACCCCATACCACCCTCGTGCTGACAAGACCTTCGTACATGCAGCGTTACGTCATGACAATATGTTTTACCCTGTTCTTCTAACGCAACATGTGTGAATGTTTGTCCAGTGAGCTCATGAAGTTAAAATAACATTTTTTTTCTAACACCCAGTTCCTGTGCATTTCGTGTTACCGGTTTTCATAAACATAATAACAGGCATTTCTATACTTAACCAAATATAAAAGCATAGACGGTGTTAGAAATGTTCTTTATATATTTTGCGACCAACGCTTTTAAATTTTTACTATTTCAGCAATGTATGTTTATCTTCTTATTTTAGAGCATTTAAAAGCTAGCTGCTATTCGTGTTTTTTTTTACTATAAAATAACTGGTAAAAATCCCACCCCCTCCCCATCCCTTATGGCTACTTGACATGTCCTTAGAAGGTCCAACAGTGCACAGAACCTTAATGGGTACGTGACATGTCTATAGAATATCCACTAGCCAACTCATCCCTAATGCTAACATTGGATTCCTATGGCAAAAAATGCTAAATTTACCTCCCCCTCCCTCGACTTCACACTTCTGTTCCCCCCCCCCCCCCCATTACTACGCCACTGCCACAAATAGGTCTAAAAGTGCAACAAATTACTGTTATGTAATTGATAGCTCTGAGCTAGGCGATGACAAAACCTAACCGATGTTTGTACCGGGAACATGAGTCATGAAAGCATATTAGGCGATTTTTTAAAAATATATTTGTAATCACCAGGTCCTATTTATAAGAATCCTTGACACGCCCTCATATGGAAAAAGTTTAAACCTTAAATATACCAGATGTTAACTAAAAGACGCACATGTTTACGGCCATTTAGCAACAGCTTAGCAATGTTTATCCACTCACCACACCTCATTAAATATTTAGATAATTGGACATTACTGGAAATATAATGTAAATATTAGTTTGTAATTCTAAGTTTAAACATCCCGTTCATTACAATTTATAATGTAGCTAATTAAATATTTAGATGTTTTGCGATAACGTTATTGCACTAACCCCTTGAACTATTTCAAACCTAAATCCTCTGACGACGAAACCAACGATACAGAAGAGACTTTCAGTATTAGCTTGAACATCAAACGCCCAGGCTGCGAGTACTTCCGTGGCATTTCACACGATCCTTGCGTACCAATTTTACAACAAAAAAATAAATAACATTGTTTAATAATGTAATGGATCGCTTACATCCACATTGCTCTGTGACCGGCAGTTCACACATTTAGAGACTTCAAAGGGTTGGGTTCAACTTTACTGTATATTTCGCACAACTAGGCAAAGGATGTGCCGACGGTAAGTAACAAAGCTCACCAGTATGTGTTTATGCTTGTGTACGCGTGTATGTATGTGCGTGTTTTTATGTCCATACGTGCGTGTGCATATTTCCGTACCAGCTTGCGTGTTTATGTTTCAATGCTTAAGAGCAAAACAATGGTGTAGAGTGTTGATCGTTTTTCTTTGATAAATGCATTCAACTTTTGTCACAGACATCTCATAAGGAACACAACTATTGACACTAGTAATTCCAATAATTCATCAGTCCTCAGTTTAATTTGAATGTACAAGCCCCCCCCCCCCCCCTCACCCACACATGCACACACATACACAGATGTCAACACAGATGTGCTAAATGCGATTGATGACTTTTAATGGGGGAAAAAGTAGAATGTTTTATTTCCTATTTTACCGTATCAAGTTGATATAAAATATTCTGAAAAAATAAATAAAAGAGGAGGCATACATTTGTTGTGTGTATAAAAAGAAGTTTTAACCTGGCTCGCCCTTCAAGACCTTGGCTCATCTAGCTGGTTCACGGTCTGGGCTCTGTGAGGGGGTGTGGTGGGGGGGGGGGAGGGTGGGGAGAAGGTGGAGAAGACATAAAAATTAGAAGATCTAGACAATTGTATTTTATTTGGAACACAAAATACGTTATAATATTGAGTCCTATATACAATGTCTTGTTAACAGATTTTTACCATTTGTCAATTATTTCCCTTAAAGCATTACATCGCCTCAGGTAAATTATCTCCCTTTGTCGATTTCAATTCTACCCTTCACCAATCCTAACAATAGCATTACAACTGGGAAGGCTGTTTAGACATTGTGTGTAGTTGTGTACTATAAGGTGTAGATGAAGTCGGGTAGTGAAGGAGGTAGATGTGGTCGGGTAGTGAAGGATGTAGATGTGGTCGGGTAGTGAAGGATGTAGATGTGGTGGGGTAGTGAATAATGTAGATGTAGTCGGGTAGTGAAGGAGGTAGATGTGGTCGGGAAGTGAAGGAGGTAGATGTGGTCGGGTAGTGAAGGAGGTAGATGTGGTCGGGTAGTGAATGATGTAGATGTAGTTGGGTAGTGAAGGAGGTAGATGTGGTTGGGTAGTGAAGGATGTAGATGTGGTCGGGTAATGAATGATGGGGTGGGGTAGTAAAGGAGGTAGATGTGGTTGGGTAGTGAAGGATGTAGATGTGGTCGGGTAGTGAAGGATGTAGATGTGGTCATGTGGTGAAGGAGGTAGATGTGGTCGGGTAGTGAAGGATGTAGATGTTGTGGGGTAGTGAAGGATGTAGATGTGGTGGGGTAGTAAAGGATGTAGATGTGGTCGGGTGGTGAAGGATGTAGATATGTTGGGGTAGTGAATGATGTAGATGTGGCGGGGTAGTGAAGGATGTAGATGTGGTCGGGTAGTGAAGGAGGTAGATGTGGTTTGGTAGTGAAGGGTGGGGTGGGGTAGTGAAGTATGAGGTAGGGTAGTGGAGGATGTAGATGTGGTCGGGTAGTGAAGGAGGTAGATGTGGGGTTAGTGAAGGATGTAGATGTGGTCGGGTAGTGAAGGATGTAGATGTGGTCTGGTAGTGAAGGAGGTAGATGTAGTGTATTAGTGAATGATGTAGATGTGGTCGGGTGGTGAAGGAGGTAGATGTGGTGAGGTAGTGAAGGAGGTAAATGTGGTTGGGTAGTGATGGATGTAGGTGTGGTGGGGCAGTGAGGGAGGTAGATGTGGTGTGGAAGTGAAGGATGTAGATGTGGCCGAGTAGTGTAGGATTAGATGTGGTAGTGAGCGAGCTAGTTGTCGTAGGGTAGTGGGCGAACTGGTCGTGGTCGGGTGCAAGACTATTGCTCCTAACACATTTCTAAATACATTCCTAACTAATGTTATTTCCTTAATGTGTTTGCTTTAATGTTGAATTGTCTACTTTTTTTTTAAATGGTTGCAAGTAATTAGACAAACAACCAAACAGAGAGATATACAATCTGCTGATACGTACGTTTCTCAAAGCGTAGTATTGTTTCCTGTGGTTCAAGATGTCTCAGCATTCTCTTGACCGCTGACAGATCCACTGTTGATGTCACCCCCGTTGGTGCTATCCTCTTCTTCCTCATCTGAGAGTTCTTCAGCCTCCATTTCTCGTAACCTTGGCCCCCGTACTATTTCTATTGCACGGGACCGCCCTCGTTTAGCTCTTTCAAGGGCCCTCCGCCGTTCTCGCTCAACTCGTTCTAACGCTCGTGCACTTCTCCTCTTCGCCCTCTCCACTCTCCTCAATGCCCGGGCCTTTCTCCACTCCGCCCTTTCTACCGCTTTTTGCGCTCTTCTCTCCGCCCTCTCCGCTCTCCTCAATGCCCAGGCCATTCTCCTCTCATATTTTTCCACCGCTCTTTCCTTTCTTCTCTGGTATTTTTCAAAAGCCCTCTCTTGCGCTTTTCGAACTGCTTCAGGGTCGGATGACTTCGGCTCGCTATATTATTTGAAAAAAATAATATCAAATGTCAAATGGTTTTTAAAATACGCATGTAATATTCTAATTGAGTTTAACGGTATACTTCTAATTTACTTCTCGTTTTTCAACTGTCAGCTTTAACATATTATTATTGACCTATCAGAACAGCCTAGCCAGTGGTAAATTTTACTGACTCGCGATAATTCGATTAGTCTTCTAATTATCCAGTTAAAACTGCCAAATCAAGACAGCGTATAGTTTTACATCGATCAGTGAAGTCATGCAATTATTTTTGTTTTTAAATACAACACAAAATTACACTTTTTAAAGTAGCTGTTAGAAGACTTAAAAGAAAATTGATTAACAAATGTTTTTCCAATTATCTCTCAAATCAGCGATAGTTAAAAAATCTAAAAGAAAATGTTTAGAATAACACTTTATCTTTTGCTTAAATCCTTAAACTAATCTAAATCATTTAAATCTATAATGTAACGCTAAACGCAAATAAATTTTTTTCTAAAAATATATACTTTCAGAGTGCTTGATAAAATGGGCAGGGTTAAGATTTAAAATTGATTTACATTAAATACTTATTAGGCTTTAAAACAAGTGTAGTTACTACTTTAATGTTAAAACTAACTACCCACAAATTTCGTTCTTCAGAGTTTCAATTACCACAATTTCTTAAATAAAATAAAAAGAACAACAGTAATTTATAGATTTCAAGCAGATTGAGGTTAAAATACACAAAACATGTTTATTGTGTTGCTCATGTGTCGGACAACATAAACAAACAGAAAAGTAATATCTTTAATAACAAAACTGACAGAACAGGTTGTTATCTACCTTCCACTACAATCGCTAGTGAGAGTTATCTTTCCTGAACAGTTGCTGACAGTGTATCCATTGATGATCAGCTTACCCTCATCACTGCTGTAAATCACACTGTCCTTTACTCTGCCGTTTACGAAGGTCACACTGCTAAATTTGCTCGAACTGCCGTTTATGATGGTCACACCGCTCGAGTTCTTAATTATACAACCATTTCTTGGCAACTCGAGACAGCTTGAGACAGCTTGTGGCAGCTTAAGACAGCTTGAGACAGCTTGTGACGACTGGTTCGGATCTGACATCTCCATTCTACCTCTCTATAGCCAACCGTCAGAGATCTAGGGAATTGTACACATCTTATATATATATATATATATATATATATATATATATATATATATATATATATATATATATATATATATACATATATATACATACATAAATATATATATATATATATATATATATATATATATATATATATATATTATATAATATATATATATATATATATATATATATATATATATATATATATATATATATATATATATATATATATATATATATATATATATATATATATATATATAAGTGCCCACACCCCGGAGAGCAATGTCTGAAAGAAACCCCGTTGGAGGAACAAGGAACAACAAGATCCGTATATTTTTTCACTTTGATACAATTTTTTTTTTAGTTTTAGGCGACTAAAAGACGAAATGGCTGTAACAAATGTATTACACGTTAACAGAGATATCCTATATCTATATCAACGCATATACCATATGCACAGAGATATTTCATATATACAGAGATATTCAATATCAACAGAGATATTCCATATCAACAGAGATATTTCATATCTACAGAGATATTCCATATCAACAGAGATACTCCATATCAACAGAAATTCCATATCAACAGATATTCCATATTAACAGATATTCCATATCAACAGAGATATTCCATATCAACAGAGATATTCCATATCAACAGAGATATTCCATATCAACAGAGATATTCCATATCAACAGATATTCTATATCAACAGAGATATTCCATATAAACAGAGATATTCCATATCAACAGAGATATTCCATATCAACAGATATTTCATATCAACAGAGATATTCCATATCAACAGAGATATTCCATATCAACAGAGATATTTCATATCAACAGAGATATTTCATATCAACAGAGATATTTCATATCAACAGAGATATTCCATATCAACAGAGATATTCCATATTAACAGAGATATTTCATATCAACAGAGATATTCCATATTAACAGAGATATTCCTTATCAACAGATATTAACAAGGCACCTCACTCCTAACACAAGATGCCTCTGTAAGAACCCTCAAAATTTTTAACTTTTATATTTCTTTCGGTTCTCATTCAAAGTAGAAAATGAATGTTTAAATATTCAAAAATAAGATTCATATAAACATTAATCAAAACACATTAAAATAATGTAGAAACACCTTACATTTTTTTGTTTACTTTTTTACCAGCTAAACATCCTTCTTGTCTCCAATGTCATCATTTTGAACGTGGTTTTTTAAGCACGTTTTTGCGCATTTTGGTGCACTCGCTCCCCTGCTTATTTAGCGCACCACCAAGTTATTTTTAAACAGCTATCGAATATTCAAGCAGGTAAAATCAGAGAGGAACAGAAAAAAAAAATTCTCACTGCTAACTTATATTTAAACAGCTATCGAATATTCAAGTCGTTAAAATTACAGAAGAGCAGAAAAAAAAATTGTGGGCGGCTTCGACAAAACGTTTTCCACACTAAAATGCCTAAACAACAAACACCACTTTTTTTTAAAATTATTTTACGATTATTTGCACACACACACACACAAACACACACACACACATACACGTAAGTGACATTGGTATCCAAATCAATGGCAATACAAGCCTATCTATTTTTAAAAAAAATAATTAAATATTTAAGTGGTCATTAAAAATTATTAAACGTTTTCGAAACTAGTGGGAGATAACAAAATTAAATCATTCAATAACAGAAGGGGAGATAACTAGCTAGTCTAGTGAGCTGTGGTTCACGAGAATGTTTACAGATGATAGGGCCGGTCGATCTAGTAAAGGCTATTAAGGGCAGATAATATAGTTTTTGAACGATTTGAAACTAAGGGGAGGTAGTAGGATTAAGAATATTCCTTCGATTTATCAGCTTACTGTTGTGTGTACATTGTGGTCACGGACGGCTGCTTTCATGGGGCATTTAACTGTGTTTTAGATATTGCGAGCTACTGTTGGTGTTTTAATGCAAATAATTTTAGATGTGCCGAGTTCACAAATTAGGAATCACTTAAAAGTAGGGAAAAAACAAATATAAAAAACATTTATAGTAACAAACTTTTAAATGCACTGAAAATAAGAAAATAAAACTAATTTGATTTCTTTAATAAAAGCTTTGGCCGCTCATGAGATCTTTTACATATTTTAGCGACAAAAGCTTTTAATAAAGAAAGCAAATTAGTTTTATTTTCTTATTTTTTTTTTGTGCATTTCAAAGCTTGTTGCTATAAAGGTTTTGTTTTAAATATTTTTTTAAAATATCGATAGAATAGGAATCAATCATTTTGACTTTTTAAAAATTTCTCTCTTGTCCAAATTAGTTATTAGTTCATTTAAACATTATACATCCGTATTTTTATCAATATTAAAAATTGGTATTCAGTTAAAATTTCATATGCACTCAGTAATTGAAACGATACCATTTCCGAACAGATTTAGCTTACCTAGTTGGGTTAACTGCACAGACAGCGAATGAGGGGAAGGCCGTTTGGAACATGGAGGAGAAGGGGAAGAGGTGCTGACGACAGTAAAACCTGGCCTGAACTCAGGGGGGGGGGGGGGCATGGTGGAGTTTTGTTGCTGCCTTATGCCCTACAGGGAGGCATGGTGGAGTTTTGTTGCTGCCTTATGCCCTACAGGGAGGCCTGGTAGAGTTTTGTTGCTGCCTTATGCCCCACAAGGAGGCATGGTGGAGTCGTTGCTTCCTTATGCCACACAGTGAGACACTGCTACTAAGCAATTACTTATGTAAGTAAGGCAATTTTATAACATATCATAACTGAGATGAGACGAAAAATTAATGTTTTAATCGTGCATTCCAGCTCAAGCTTTCTCATTGGCACCTTATCTGCAGAACAGTTGTGTGTTGTCAGATATATTTCATAAGGAACAAATAATTTCAAGAGTTAACCAGTCTTCATTTCAACTTCACAATATAAGTACAAGCAACACCCCCCCCCCCCCCCCACACACACATACATACACCCCTACCTAGTGTCTAACAGATGTGATGTGGTAAATGCTTTTAAGGACAAGTAATATTTAAAAAAAAACAAATACATCTGTGATAGTAAAATATTTTATTTCATATATTATCGTATAAAGTCGAGATAAAATCATCGAAAAAAGAGTACAATTATTTGTGATTGTGTAGTCAATATATCAATGTCAACAGCTCGTCTTAACGTCTAGTAGTTGGTTCATATCGTGAACTGCTGGTGAGGGTGGGGAGATGGTGGGGAAACAATTCGATGTTCTGAACGAAATACATTTTATTTTATTCAGAACACAAAACACGATTATAATACCGAATAAAAGTGGGTCTATGTGTAACTTTTTGGGTTACCCCCCTCCCCAAGTATAACAAAAGGTTAAATGATTTCTTTTTACTGATGTAAGCAGGGGTAGTGGAAGCATCTGCTGCTAGGAAACAGGACACTGACCCTTAGTGGTCAATCACCATACTCACACCTTTGACATTTTACTCCTAAGCTCAATAATTTCCCCTTGAGTAGGATTTAACCATTCAGAACATTGTCTAAGGCACGTGACTAAAAACTCGGAACGCTGTTTAATTAGTATGTGCAGTTGGGTAGTGAAAGATGTAGATGTGGTGGGGGTAGTGAAGGATGTAGATGTGGTCGGATAGTGAAGGATGTAGATGTGGTCGGGTAGTGACAGGATGTAGATGTGGTCGGGTAGTGACAGGATGTAGATGTGGTCGGGTAGTTAAGGATGTAGATGTGGTGGCGTAGTGAAGGATGTAGATGTGGTAGAGTAGTGAAAGATGTAGATGTAGTTGTGAACGAACTAGTAATCGTAAGGTAGTGAACGAGCTAGTAGTCGTAGGGTAGTGAACGAACAGGTCATTGTCGGGTGCAAGTCTATTCCTCCTCGTCTGATATCGTGATAACTTCCATCTCCTGTAGCCTAGGCTGACGTGCTTTCCCCAATGTACGGGACCGTTCTCGCTTAGCTCTTTCAAGGGCCTTCAAACGTTCTTGCACAGCTCGTTGCTCTGCCTTTTTCCTTTTGATCTCAGCTTTTTCCAAAGCTTCTTTCTTTTTCCTGTCCCTTTTTTCTTGAGTCAGCGCTCTAGCCCGTTCAGTTTCCTTGGATACGCTAAATAGGTTGAAACAAACTTAAAATTACATCATTTGTTAAATTGTCTCTTTTTTTAAAATATTTTGTTCATTAAACATATGGACACTACATTATTAGCTAAGTTTTTTTCATACTTCAGTTTCTGTATAATATTTTGACAACTAACCCAAGTTAATGAGTGTTATTTTATACGGATTAATAAAAATGTGGTCAGCCGACTGCCTGCTAATTATGTAGTTAATAAGCGAAACAAGTGAGCGTAGAAAAAATTCAGCATTCGCATTTGAATCTTGTAATTTATTTTCAAATATAATACCAAAATTACATTTCATAGCAATTTTTCGATGAACAAAAAGTAAAATAAACAATAATTTTTCTTTTACTATCTCTGAAAACATCGATTCTATAAAACAAATAGTTGGAAATAAATCTAACAGAAATCGCATTGAATACTGACCTAGTCAGATATTACCTAAATTCTTACATGAACCGTAATCATTTAAATCTACAACATAACGTTAAATTCAAGATTTCTCTAAAAATATCAGTTTTTAGAAAGCGATAGAAAACGGACAGGGTTATATCAAATAATTTAAAATATTCAATACTAACTAGGCAGTAGGCGGATGAAAATGGGGTTATTTGAATCTTATTCGGTATAAGTATAATGTTTTAACTTTTCAGCCACAATTGTATTTGGCTACCAAAACTTTATTTCATTTAAATATTTTCAAGAAAATGTGATGTTTTAATTTAATTAGATGCAGGATAAAATACACAACCTATACTGTTGCGGGTTTCTATGTCCGAAAATAAAAACTAGCCGGGTAATATCTTTTATAATGAAACTCAACAATCAGAAAACTGGTTAATAAGTAAAGTTCTCTTGACGGTCCAGACATGAGGGTATGGTATGATCAGCATTATGCAAAGTCGACTTTATTTTCCATTGCGTGAATTAGGTACCCATCAGAGCTGGATGGATTCAGGGACGTTATGCTGACTTGAACCCGGATTCGAACTTGAAACATTCGGGTTAGCCATACTATAGAAAAATTGGTTGTTACCTACCTTTTTCTACAGCCGGTAGTTGCTGAACGGTAGCTGAAATTGCATCCGGTAACGTTTCCATTGATGATTACGTTCCCACTTCCGGTGTTTATAATTGTTGTGTTGTACAGAGCGCCAAAGGACCCATTGATGATTAAGTTCCCACTTCCAGAGTTACTAATTGTGGAGTTGTACAAAGCGCTATTTATAATTGTGCATCCGCTACAGTTCTTGAGCCAATCAACACTTGACATTGTACGTGATGTCTGAATTTGATCCGATCTCTTTATTTTGCACCTCGCAGTAACCGTCAGAGAGCTAGGGAGTTGTACATATATATATATATATATATATATATATATATATATATATATATATATATATATATATATATATATATATATATATTCGCTTATGTGCAGAATAACGATTTGATTTTAACAGTAGCTATTTAAATTAACAAGCATTCCATGCTTTCTGATACAGTATTGGCATCATGGCACACCTCAAACTTTTTTTTTACTGCGCTGTAAAAGAATTAGAATTAAGAAACAAACAAAAGCTTTAATACCTAACTGGGCAAGTGTAAAAAGCGGGTCTAAAATTGGTGCAAGAAATTAGGGCTAGCAGCAGATCGAAACTTAGGGCTTGGGTTTAACTAAACTTTGAAAAAGTTCATTGAAAAACGTAAGTACATTTCCGGCTCCGGAAGCTGAGCGTAACTACCCCTTTACCTAGACGAGCATAGGCCTACCTTTTTTTGTTAAATTGCTCGGCTCACTGGCTTCACGGCACTTAGACCAGAGTTTCTTTCATGCATTTCTTTTAAAAGTATCCGCCCCTCCCCCGGAAAATGTAGTCCACCCCCGCCCACCCCCCGGAGAAAAAAGTCTGGAAGAAGCACTGACTTAGACAACATATTTATAGAATATTTTTTCTATCAAAGACGTTATTAAAGTTAGTCAGTATGGTCAAGTTGGAGTTTTCAATAATTATATTTATAAACACACGTAGGGCGTATTTTTGCAAGTATCAATACTCTAACCATAAACCTTGCTCTAACCAAATCACAAGCCCTAAACTTAAGCGTGGTTAAGTGGTTTTAAAAAAACAATAATTGTGTTTTAAAAATTTTATCGGCAAAGTTTTTGAGAACAAATTACAAAGAAGTGGGGATTTTCAGAAGATCGATCACGGAGTTCCTGTACAGCCAATCAATAATCCACGAAAGTAAAACATCAGGCTTTAACCTGGGTTTGCTTTTAAAATAAATAGAAATGTAGCCTTAAATTAAACTCAAAATTTATTTTGAATGAATGCTAAAATCCTTAGAAAACAACTAGCCGTTAAATATTAGCTGAAACGCGCTTAAACAACATTAAAATAAAATAGAAACATCTTAAATTTTTTGCTTCGTTACCTTCAACAATCTGTTTGGTATCTGACGTCATCATCTTGAACGCGTTTTTTGTGTGTTCGTTTTTGCACGTTTTGGTGCGCTCTTCCCCTCTATTATTTTTTGCGCCTGTTTGAGTAGGTCCTGAGCTCATAAGAAAAGATTTAATAATTTACTTTTATTATACCCTAAAATGACGAAACAAAATGATTTTCTTTAAATAGGTCTAGAATATATAATTATGCTCTACTATTTACTTAACTTTAAACTAGCTTTCCTTGTGATTTTTTACTCTCTTGATCATAGGCGGAAAACATTATCAAGATCATTAATGCCCAAATCCGTTATTATTTCATTTAAGTTTTTCACATCAATCTGTATTCTTTTAATCCATACTTTTAAATCTTCAATGAAACTTGTAGCAGGTGTGTTCGTAATTTCATTTTACTGTGTATCAATTAATTACTATCTGTATATCGAAACACAGTTAAAATTCAATGAACTCCACGAAAAATTTAAAAGGCAAGATTTAGATGCAATAAATAATTGAACCTTATGCCCTACATGGAGGCCATTTTTTGGAGTTTTGTTGTTGCCTTATGCCCTACAGGGAGGCATGGTGGAGTTTTGTTGCTGCCTTATGCCCTACAGGGAGGCATGGTGGAGTTGTTGCTGCCTTATGCCCGACGAGGATGCCTGGTGGAGTTGTTGCTGCCTTATGCCACACAGTGAGACACGGTTATTAAGTTATTACTTATGTAAGTAAGCCAACATTATAACACTGATATCATAACTGAGATGAGACGAAAAATTAAAGCACGTAGAATAATAATTTAAACGTGCCTTCGAGCTCAGGTTTTCTCATTGGCACCTTATCTGCAGAACAGTTGTGTGTTGTCAGATATATTTCATAAGGAACGAATAATTTCAAGAGTTTATCACTCCTTATTTCAATTTCACAATATAAGTACTAGCAACTCCCCTACCCCCCCCCCCCCCCATACACACACATCCCTAATAAAAAAAATGTGGTAAATTATTTTAAAGACAATTAATATTTTATAAAAACAAATACACAAGTAAAAGTGAAATATTTTATTTCATATATTACCGTATAAAGTCGAGATAAAATCATCGAAAAAAGAGTACAATTATTTGTGAGTGTGTAGTCAATATATCAATGTCAACAGCTCGTCTTAACGTCTAGTAGTTGGTTCATAACGTGAACTGCTGGTGAGGGTGGGGAGATGGTGGGGAAACAATTCGATGTTCTGAACGAAATACATTTTATTTTATTCAGAACACAAAACACGATTATAATACCGAATAAAAGTGGGTCTATGTGTAACTCCCCCCCCCCCCCCCCCCAGTATAAAAAAGGGTAAATGATTTCTTTTTACTGATGTAAGCAGGTGTAGTGGGAGCATCTGCTGCTAGGAAACTGGACACTGACCCTTAGTGGTCAATCACCATACTCACACCTTTGACATTTTACTCCTAAGCTCAATAATTTCCCCTTGAGTAGGATTTAACCATTCGGAACATTGTCTAAGGCACGTGACTAAAAATTCGGAACGCAGTTTAATTAGTATGTGCAATTGGGTAGTGAAGGAGGTAGATGTGGTCGGGTAGTGAAAGATGTAGATGTGGTCTTTGCGTCTAGTGGTTGGTTCATAACGTGGACTGCTGGTGAGGGTGGGGAGATGGTGGGGAAAGCAATCATATGTTCTGGACGAAATACATTTTATTTTATTCAGAACACAAAACACGGTTATAATACTGAATAAAACCCGCAGTGGTCAATCACCATACATTTCAATCCTAAGGTCAATTATTTTACCTTGAGTAGGATTTAACCATTCAGAACATTGTCTAAGGCACGTGACTAGAAACTCGGAACTCAGTTTAATTAGTACGTGCAGTTCGGTAGTGAAGGAGGTAGATGTGGTGGGGTAGTGAATGATGTAGATGTGGTGGGGTAGTAAAGGATGTAGATGTGGTCGGGTAGTTAGTAGATGTGGTGGAGTAGTGAAAGATGTAGATGTAGATGTGGTAGTGAACGAGCTAGTTGTCGTAAGGTAGTGAACGAGCTAGTTGTCGTAGGGTAGTGAACGAACAGGTCATGGTCGGGTGCAAGTCTATTCCTCCTCGTCTGATATCGTGATAACTTCTGTCTCCTGTAGCCTAGGCTGACGTGCTTTCTCCATTGTGTGGGACCGTTCTCTCTTAGCTCTCACAAGGGCCTTCAAACGTTCTTGCACAGCTCGTTGCTCTGCCTTTTTCCTTTTGTTCTCAGCTTTTTCCAAAGCTTCTTTCTCCCTCCTGTCACTGTTTCCTTCAGTCAGCGCTCTAACCCGTTCAGTTTCCATAGACACGCTAAATTAGTTGAAACAAACTTAAAATTACATCATAGGTTAAATTGTCTATTTTTTAAAAAATATTAATTAATTAAACATAGATATGGACACTTCATAATTAGCTTAGTTTTTTTTTCATACTTCAGTTTCCGTATACTATTTTGACAACTACGCCAAGTTAATCAGTGTGATTTTATACTGATTAATAAAAATGTGATTAGCCGACTCATACAGTTAATAATGCGAAACAAGTGAGCTTAGAAAAACATTCAGCATTCGCATTTGAATCTTTTAATTTATTTTAAATATAATACCAAAATTACATTTTGCAGCACGTTTTAGATGACTAAAAAGTAAAAGAAACAATATTTTTTTTCTTTTACTATCTCTGAAAACATCGATTCTATAAAACAAATAGTTGAAAGTAAATCTTACAGAAATTGTATTGAATACTGACCTAGTCAGATATTACCTGAATTCTTACATGAACCGTAATCATTTAAATTCAAGATTTCTCTAAAAATATAAGTTTTCAGAAAGCGATAGAAAACGGTTACATATAATATTAAAAAATAATCAATACTAACTAGGCATGCAAATGTGGTATAATGTAAAATTTACAAGCACAAATGTATTTGACCACCAAAACTTTATTTTATTTAAATCTTTTCAAGAAAATGTGTTGTTATTTTAATTTAAGTAGATGCAGGATAAAATACACAACCTAAGCTGTTGCGGGTTTCTATGTCCGAAAACAAAAACCAGCCGCGTAATATCTCTTATAATGATACTCAACAATCAGAAAACTGGTTAATGATTAGTTCCCTTTCGAACCTGACAGTCCAGGGGAGAGTAACCTCGGTATATGAGGCATAGTGCGGTAGGCCCAGTCGACTTTATTTTCCCTAGCATAAACTAGGTACCCATCAGAGCTGGATATACTCAGGGAAGTTATGCTGACTTGAACCCGGATTCGAACTCGAGACATTCGGGTTAGCAGTTTAGGCTAGGCCGTCCCATAGAAAATCGGTTGTTACCTACCTTTTTCTACAGCTGATAGTTGATGAACTGCAGGTGTAAGTGCATCCAATAATGTTCCCATTAATGATTAAGTTTCCTTTTCCAATGTTAATAAATGTGCAGTTGTAGGCATTGCCATTGATAATATTTGTTCCGCCAACATTGATGGCCGATTTCCCACTTTGGGTGTTAATAAATGTGCAGTTGAACACATTGCCATTTATAACATTGCACCCGCCAATGGTCCCATTGATCAACGAGGTCAGACCACTTCCGGTATTATTAAATGTGCAATTGTACACATTGGTATTTATAATATTCCATCCGCTATAGTTGTTGAGCGAAATACCACCGCTTGACATTTTACGTGATATTTTTACACCGCGTAGTAACCGTCAGAGATCTAGGGAGTTGTACAAAGCACATATATATATATATATATATATATATATATATATATATATATATATATATATATATATATATATATATATATATATATATATTTGCTGCGCTGTAAAAGAATTAAGAAACAATCATAAGCTATTTTACCTAACAGCAGAATGGTTTCATGTTTTATTCTTTAACTGGGCAAGTGTTAAAATTGGGTCTAGAATTGGTACAAGGAATTAGGGCTAGCAGTAGGTAGAAACTCAGGACTTAGTCCTCTTTGCTCCTTATGGAACATAGGACCTCCACCATTTCCTTCCATTTCTTCCGATCCCCGGCTATTTATTTTGTCATCTCCCAAGACATCCCTGTTGGCTTCAGTTCTTCAAGAAGACTCCGCCTCCAGGTCTGTCTTGGGCGCCCTCTTTTCCACTTTCCCTGGGGGTTCCACTCAAGCGCTTGGCTTGTAACATTTGTGTGAGCCTTTCGCAGTGTGTGACCCACCCAGCGCCACTTCAGAAACTTAGGGCTTGGGTTTAGCTGATCTTTAAAAAAAGTTCATTTAAAAAAGTACATTTCCGGCTCCAGAAGCTTCCCTACCCCTTTACCTAGACGAGCATAGGCCTACCCTTTATTGCTAAACTGTTCGGCTCATTGGCTTAGTAGAAGATACCGGTGACATCACGGCACTTAGACCAGAGTTACTTCCAGTCATCTTTTCGGGGGGGGGGGGGGAGATGGAATTTATACAGAAAACATGCATTTACCAGTGTCCGACCCGACCCCCTTCCCCCCCCCCCCCCCCACACACACACACACCTTCCCGTCTGGAAGAAACACTGACTAAGACCGCAGTTTATGGGAAATTGGAAAATATTTTGATCAAAGACATTACTAAAGTTAGTATGGTTAAGTTGGAGTTTTCAGTAATTATATTTATAACCACACGTAGGGCGTATTTTTGCAAGTATCAATACCCTAACCATAAAGTAGTTTTAGAAAACAATAATTGTTTTTTAAAAATGGTATCGGCAAAATTTTGAGAACAAATTACAAAGAAGTGGGGATTTTAAGAAGATCGATCACGGAGTTCCTGTACAGCCAATCAAATCATCCACGAAAGTAAAACATCACGTTATAGATTTCTAGATCTAACTTAAGTTTGATTTTAAAATAAATAGAAATGTAGCCTTAAATTAAACTCAAAAAAAATATATTGAATGAATGCTAAAATCCTTAGAAAACAACCTATCTTTAAATATTAGCCTAAACGCGTTTAAACAATATTAAAATAAAATAGAAATTGAAACATCTTAAATTTTTTACTTCGTTACCTTCAACAATTTGTTTGGTATCTGACGTCATCATCTTGAACACGTTTTTTTTTGTGTAAGTTTTTTCACGTTTTTGGTGCGCTCTTTCCCTTAGGCCTAACTAGTTAGGTCTAAGTCTAAGTTTTTGGTAGGCCCTGAGCTCATAAAAAACCGTTTTAGTAACTAACTTTTATTATGCCCTAAAAAGGAAAAAAAACGATTTTCTTTAAATAGGTCTATATAATTATACTCTACCATTTACTTAACTATAAACTATTTTTCCTTGCAATTGACTTACCTGAGATGTGGTTAACTAAAACCTTTTATAACAAAAACAAACCGTGTTATTTATTTTATAAAGAAAGAATTTTTAGCGAATCATATAGGTCTACAAACGTATAGTGAGTTTTTTACTCTCTTAACCCAAGGCCGACAACATTATCAAGATCATTAATGCCCAAATCCATTATTATTTCATTTAAGTTTTTTTTACATCAATCTGTATTCTTTTAATCCATACTTTTAAATCTTCAATGAAACCTGTAGCAGGTGTGTTCGTGATTTAATTTACACTGTGTATCAATTAATTACCATCTGTACATCGAAACAAAGTTAAAGTTCAATGAACTCAACGAAAAATTTAAAAGGCAAGATATTTTTTTAAACTTAGACGCAACAAATAATTGAGCAAAAGCTGATTTATTTTTAGTTTTACTTCATATAGCTCAAGTAACGCTTCAGCCAAGCGACATCTAAGCTCCAGTTATTCTACAGCTGAGCTTAATCTAAGCTCCAGCTACACCCCAGCTAAGCTCTAGTTAGGCTCAATCTAAGCTTCAGCTATGCTCCATTTAAGCTCGAGATATGCCCCATCTAAGCTCCAGCTATGCTCCAGCCACCTTTCAGCTAAGCACTATCTAAGCTCTACTTCGGTTCCATCTAAGCTCCAGCTATGCTCCAGCCAACGTTCAGCTAAGCTTCCGTTAATTTAAAACTAAACTCCGACAAAATCCATTTGTTAGCTCCATCTGCGCACCATTTTGCAGTTGAAAATTTGAAGTGGGTTTTGTAAAATGGTCGCTTTCACAATATTTGTATGTATTAATATTAAAAAGAAGTCTACTGGTAAAATCAGCCACGGTGCTTTTTTGCTGTTTTTTTTTTAAAAAAAAGATCTTCTCCTCTTAAGCGAAGTAATAATGTTACTAGGTACAGTTGTTTTTACGGTTGCAATTTTTTAAAGCAGTAATATATCGACTTTTCTGCGCCTGCTAAAGAAGTTTTTTTTAAAAACACCGTTTTTTGTTGTTGCTTTTTTAAGTCTACCTGAAGTAAATTTTACATGTGCAGGCCCTATTCCTCAAATTTAATTTTAATTTGTATCAAAGCATACCACTGAATACTCCCGCTCTAAAATGAAAGACCTCGGGCAGATGAGGCTCGTTAGCTGGGGACAGCCACTCTTCTAGGAGAGACAACTCCAAAATTAAACAACTGCTGCCTTGTAGTTTGTTCTTGGTTGGACAAAGGCTATGGAAGCAAATCCAAAACGAAAAGCAGGCTGAAATCGGAGTCAATGGCCTCAATGGCGCATAACCAGTTGACACGTAACGCTTAATTGTGTTGGAGGCGCGGTCGAGTCGGCAAAAAGCTCATGGTTGATAAATTCGAACAAAGTCTCGAGTTCAAACCCACTGGCAGATAAATCTCGATCCCCTTCGACACTAATAATTAAAAACGAAGAAGAAGAAGAAGAACTGAAAGACCATTGAGAACTGGAGAGAGATGAAAGAGGTCCTGACCAAAGGACAGTGGGGTATGGTAGGGTTTTGTTGCTGCCTATGTCCCACAGAGAGCCATGATGATTAAGTAAGTACATAAGTAGGCTAATTTAGCACCATAATTTGAAGTGTGTGTAGAGGCAAAACATTAATGAACGTGAAATACAGACTTCACCTTCATTAAAGCTCAAATTTTCTCATTGGCACCTTAACATTCTTCATTGAAGACGTCTAGGTTGAGCATAAAAATTGGGCTGTTCGTATTTCTTTTATGAATGCAGTACAGTGTGTGATGTAAGAGATATCTCATAAGGAACACACACTTTTGACACGTAATTTCAATAGTTTATCAGTCATCAGTTAAATTTGACAGGCAACCAACCCCCCCCCCCCCCCTCACCTTCCCCTAGCACACACATACACACAAAACCATACCAAAAACCTACACAGATATAAATACATTTACCAAACAATTAATTTTTTTTTTAAAAACAAGTAAAATAGATTTGTTTTATTTCATATTTTACCGTACAAGTCGAAATAGATTTTTTTGGGTATATATATAGCAGCGTCAACAGCTCGTCTTTGCGTCTAGTAGTTGGTTCATAACGTGGACTGCTGTGAGGGTGGGGAGATGGCGGAGAAAAGAAACCAAACATTAAATAGCCTAAACAAAACGGGTGCTAAATACTAAATAGTATACATTCTAGGCGTGGCTTTTGTTGGCTTCAACTCTAAACCTACTTGTCTGAACCTAACAAGGATGTGTTTAGTCCCCACTGTTTTTTAACTTTGTAATTGATTCGCTGATTTAAAGTGATAGAAAATTAATTATTCCATTGAAAAACAATGGAACTTTCAATTCATAATGTCGGAAATAATTTAATTTTAAAGTTAAAAACTTGGTCAAACAAACAAACATACCGATAGCCAAATAGAGAAATATACAAACGGCTGATACCTACCTTTTTCTAAAACCATACACCATTGCTTCCTGTGATGTATGTAGTCTGCACATTCTCTTGGACGATGAGACCGTTGTTTCCTGCGATGTAAGCAGTCTGTAAGCTTCTTTGAGCGGTGAAACCATTGTTGTCTGTGGTGTAACATGTCTGATGACTCGATTGGGCTCTGTGGCCATTGTTTGTGTTAACGTATGCAGTCTGATGACTCGATTGGGCTCTGTGGCCATTGTTAGTGTTGACGTATGCGGTCTGATGACTCGATTGGGCTCTGTGGCCATTGTTAGTGTTGACGTATGCGGTCTGATGACTCGATTGGGCTCTGTGGCCATTGTTTTTGTTGACGTATGCGGTCTGATGACTCCTTTGAGCACTGTGACCGTTATGTCCTTTGACGTATGCGGTCTGAAGACTCGATTGGGTATTGGCACCATTGTTTCCTGTTGTGTAAGCGGACTGAAGACTCCTTTGGATACTGGCACCATTGTTTCCTGTTGTGTAAGCGGACTGAAGACTCCTTTGGATACTGGCACCATTGTTTCCTGTTGTGTAAGCGGGCTCAAGACTCCTTTGAATACTGGCACCATTGTTTCCTGTTGTGTAAGCGGACTGAAGACTCCTTTGGATACTGGCACCATTGTTTCCTGTTGTGTAAGCGGACTGAAGACTCCTTTGGATACTGGCACCATTGTTTCCTGTTGTGTAAGCGGGCTCAAGACTCCTATGAAAACTGGCACAATTGCTCCCTGTTGTGTAAGCGGGCTGAAGACTTCTATAGGCACTTACACTATTATTTCCATTTGCGTAAGCGGGCTGAACATTCTCTTTGGCGATGACAGATCTACTGTTGGTGTTATCGCCGTTGATGAATGTGGCGCTATCCTCTTCTTCGTCATCTGATTGATCAACTTCCATATCCTCTAACATTGGCCCACGAGCTATTTCCATTGTACGGGATCGTTCACGTTTAGATCTTTCAAGGGCCCGCGAACGTTCTTGCTCGGCTCGTTCTGCTGCTTGTGCCCGCTTTCTCTCCGCTCTCTCAAATTCCCAGGTCCATCTTCTGTCGGAATTTTCTACAACCCGCTCTTTGGCGCACCCAATTCTTTCAACGTGGTATGATTCCGACACACTAAATTATTTGAAAGAAATAATATTAAAGGTGAAATGATTTGTTTTAATACGACAGTAATATTCTAATATAGTTTTACAGTATATTTGACATTCATTTTTTTAACTGTCAGTTTGAATACTTAATTAACCAATCAAGCCAAGCTAATAGTGGCATGTTTTACTCGTATTCGTAAAAAATTTATTCGTTTTCAAATATCCAGTTAAACGTTACAAAACAAGAGAGCTTATAATCAAATTTAGCTAAGTATTGTAATGCAATTATTTTTATATTAAAATTTAATACAAAATAACAATTTTTGCAGTAACTTTTAGCAGACCTGAAAGAGGAAGGAACACGAAATTTTTTTCGTAATGTTAGTTTTTACTTAAATCCTTAAACTAATGCAATAATTTAAATTTAGAGCAACGCTAAACCCAAATGATCTTTTCCAAATCTCTGTATCCTTCAAAACCGGAAAGTGTTTAGATACAATATTAAAAGATATATATGATACTTTTAGCAGAATGAAAAATAAGTCACTTTAAACAGCTTCGGTTTAAGTTTATAATTTTTCAACCACTAATTTCTTTAAAAAAGCATTTCCTTGAATATTTAACTACCACTTTTATTAAAACCAAAATATTAATTTGACTCAATGTAAGTAGATTCAGGATAAAATGCATACCAAATATAATATGTTTATTGTATTGCATCAATGTGGGATAATAAAACCTAACCATCAGGACATGGGTTAGTACCTACCTTTTTCGATACTCAGTGCTGATGGTGAGACCTCCTGGACGACTGTTGATTGTGCGTCCGTTAACGTTTCCGTTGATATCAAGGTTACCACCCCCCGTACTGTTGCAAATAGTATTCGGCATGCTGGCGTTTACGATGGTCAGTGCGCTGCTGTTGTTGAATGGACTAAACTCTCTTGCAACAGCTCCAGAGATCGCAGGTGGATCTGATCTCTCCATTTTGTTTTACCTAGCAGTAACCAGCCCTCATGGATCTAGGTAGATCGTACATATACATATATATATATATATATATATATATATATATATATATATATATATATATATATATATATATATACATATATATATATATATATATATACTTTTAACGTATTATGATTATGTTAATGCTATTAATAATTTTTCATTGTGTGTGCGTGTGGTGTGCGTACGTGTGCGTGTGTTAGAGTGTAGACACACATTCTCACACAGACGTGCAAGATTGAAAACTAAGTATGCATGATTACAATGCATCATTTATAATCCATATAAGATAAAGAAGGGAGGTGTAAAACAGTGAAAACTGTCAAAATAAATGTTAATATTCCGCACTAGTAGCAAACTTCCTATATCCTCTGTATATTTGCTATTTAATGTCAAAGCAATTCATTTTAAAATATTTTTAAAGACAATAAAATGGGAATTACAACAAAAAAATGTAGCCACATTGACAAAGTAAAAACAATTATTTTAATTTTTACTTTATCGGCAAATTCTACTAAAGCTACTTGGATTTTTAAAACGTTTTGTTAACCTTTATTCTTTTAAATTTAATGCCATTGAAAAAATAATACTCTAGAATCTATTATTTAAAAAGTTATCCTATTCAAATCTCGAGGGGTTAAAGATCTACTATCAAACAGAATATGATCGTTTAGTGCTTAAAATCAATATCTCTCTAAACTCTAAACAGCCTATGAGTTTAAAAGCATTAAAATAATATAAGAAACATCTAAAATTGTATGCTTTACTTCGTTACCTTCTTAAAATCCTTTCGGTCTCTGTCGTCATCAATTTTGAACGCGTTCAATATCATTTGTTTACAAAATTTATTGCGCGTTTTGGTGCGCTCTTTCTCCTTCTATGGATGGTAAGCTAGCGGCACATCATAGTGTTTTAGATCCAGAGGCGTAGCGAGGGGGGGGGGTTGGGGTGCGGACCGCACCGGGTGACACCATTTAGGGGGGTGACACCAAGGCAAAAAATAGCAAAATATATAGAGAAAACTTTGAGGGGGGGGGGGGCAAATCGAAAGTTTGAGGGGGGGGGGGGGGGTGCAAATCGAAAATTTATCACCTGGAAGGGTCGCTCTCGGGGGTGACACACCGGGTGACACCCGACCTCGCTACTGTTTAGATCTATAGCACTACCTTTGATTTTACTTTTTTTTTAAAAATCCTACATTTTGGACCAATGGTTTTCAAGTAACAGACTGGCGCATGCGCAAACAGATCGTAGCTTAATTATGAACGGCTAGAGACAACAAATTAGCAGATGTTATTATCAGCTGTGTCAAATACATGCTACCATGCACACCTTGTTTGGCAACGGGGTATGTGGGGATGGAGGTAAAATCGCATAATGTATATTCATTTGCCTAAGACGCCTATCATCATCATCATCATATTTTCCCGTTCATGCCCAAGACACATGGGGCAGATAAAGTAGAGTTCATCTGTTAGGTACCCATCATCTACTGACTTGAATTCAGATTCGAACTCGAGACTCTCGGGTTAGTGGTCTAACGCTCTAGCGATAGGCAGAGTTTCTTCTGCCCCCCCCCCCCCCCCGGAGAAAAAAGTCTGGAAGAAACACTGTCGCTAGGTCATGCCGTCAATAAGACAACTATAGTCACCTATACCCGTGAACATGTCAGTTACGTTTTCCAACCCATACCCATAGGTAGCTAGAAAGACCTTCCTCACCCACATCCTTAGGTAGATCGAGCTACCTGCTCCCACCATTACCTGCCCCCACCATTACCTGCATCCCCCCCCCCCCCACCTAAAGGCAGCTAGAGCTACCTGCAGAACACACACACACACACACCCATATTTCAGTCTATATTATAAGCTATTTCATTTAAACTTTTTGCATGTTTGTTTATTTGTTTATTAGCTTGTTTGTGGTGTTTTGGCAAATCATGTAACTCAATTTTGACCCATTTCTAATGCAACAATTTAGTTCAAATTTTCAAGAGATGTTCGTCTCCGACAACAATGCAAGAATATTCATTTTTATCCTCATAGACCTTAGATTTGTCTTTGAAATTCAATATAATAATTACTAAACACAATAATAACAGGGGAGATAACAAAATTAAACGATGTCTCGTCCAGATAACCGACGACAGTGAACTGTTTTTTTCCAACGGCTGAGTGATATTTTAAAAATTAAATATATATATATGACAGGAAATTTTATAGCATATAAAAATATGTACAAAAAAGAACTATTTGTTTTTATATATTAAACACGAACTCATTGTTGTTAGTGTGGAAGTAAGGGAGGGGGTGGGGGTGGCCCAGCCTACAAGGGGTCACAGGTCGTTTGTATATGCTGGACTATTTTATTTATAACTCAGTTCTTTTTCTCTAATGGTTCTTATCGGTTCAAAGCTCCCCTAATGTCTATTGGTCAATTTAAAAACAAAACAACAGAAAGCCATCATTAACACACTGACTTGTTGTGTGTAGAAATATAGGAGTTCACGCATCGCTCACAACGTGTGGTCACTTGAGTGTAGGCTTGATCAGATGGTCAGATGGTCGAGACAGGCTCTGGAGGCAGAGACACTAAATCGTCCAGCTAAAATGATTGCTAAGATAAGTTCATTTACTCTGAGATCTACCTAGATATCTAGATTTAGATAGGCCTATATTTCATTTTTAGTTAAGTTATTTAGCAACGGAGATTAAAATAAATAATTGTATTTTATATATATATATATATTAATATAGTATATAGATCTAGGTCATGATCTAGTCTACACTCTACAGCCCTACTAGATTATAGTCCATAGACTAGACAATGTTACAAGGTTCTATCTATATTCTTGAATCTTGATATTTTTATAACTTCAGACAGAATTATAATTTTCTATTGGCATACGAAGTGATTATTAACAGAAGTAGGCCTATTCCTAGATCTATATCTCTTGTCTAATGTTGACTCAGTTTAATCTTATTTACATAAATGCCATATGCTTGTAACTTTACCTCATAATTTATCTCCTGTTAATCGTATTTCTTGTTCATTTTATCTCTTGTTCATTTTATCTCTTGTTCTTTATCACCTGTTCATTTTAGCTCCTGATAATTTAACTCCTGATGACTTAGCTCCTGATGACTTAGCTCCTGATGACTTAGCTCCTGATGACTTAACTCCTGATGACTTAACTCCTGATGACTTAACTCCTGATGACTTAACTCCTGATGACTTAACTCCTGATGACTTAACTCCTGATGACTTAGCTCCTGATGACTTAGCTCCTGATGACTTAGCTCCTGATGACTTAGCTCCTTGTAATTTAGCTCCTGATAATTTAGCTCCTGATAATTTAGCTCCTGATAATTTAGCTCCTGATAATTTAGCTCCTGATAATTTAGCTCCTGATAATTTAGCTCCTGATAATTTAGCTCCTGATAATTTAGCTCGTGATAATTTAGCTCGTGATAATTTAGCTCCTGATAATTTAGCTCCTGATAATTTAGCTCCTGATAATTTAGCTCCTGATAATTTAGCTCCTGATAATTTAGCTCCTGATAATTTAGCTCCTGATACATTGCCTCTTGATACATTGCCTCTTGATACATTGCCTCTTGATACATTGCCTCTTGATACATTGCCTCTTGATACATTGCCTCTTGATACATTGCCTCTTGATACATTGCCTCTTGATACATTGCCTCTTGATACATTGCCTCTTGATACATTGCCTCTTGATACATTGCCTCTTGATACATTACCTCTTGATACATTACCTCTTGATACATTACCTCTTGATACATTACCTCTTGATACATTACCTCTTGATATATTACCTCTTGATATATTACCTCTTGATATATTACCTCTTGATATATTACCTCTTGATATATTACCTCTTTAGGGGTTCGGCGTGGTCGAGTCGGTAAAGCTCATGGTTGCTAAACCGAAAAGTCTCGAGTTCAAACCCTCGGGCAGATGAGGCTCGTTAGCTGGGGACAGCCACTCCTCTAGGAGAGACTCCAAAATTAAACAACTGCTGCCTTGTAGTTTGTTCTTGGTTGGACAAAGGCTATGGAAGCAAATCCAAAAAGAAAAGCAGGCTGAAATCGGAGTCAATGGCCTCAAAGGCGCATAACCAGTTGACACGTAACGCTTAATTGTGTTGGAGGCGTGGTTGAGTTGGCAAAAAGCTCATGGTTGATAAATTCGAACAAAGTCTCGAGTTCAAACCCACTGGCAGATAAATCTCGATCCCCTTCAACACTAATAATTAAGAACGAAGAAGATTACCTCTTGATATATTACCTCTTGATATATTACCTCTTGATATATTACCTCTTGATATATTACCTCTTGATATATTACCTCTTGATATATTACCTCTTGATATATTACCTCTTGATATATTACCTCTTGATATATTACCTCTTGATATATTACCTCTTGATATATTACCTCTTGATATATTACCTCTTGATATATTACCTCTTGATATATTACCTCTTGATATATTACCTCTTGATATATTACCTCTTGATATATTACCTCTTGATATATTACCTCTTGATATATTACCTCTTGATATATTACCTCTTGATATATTACCTCTTGATATATTACCTCTTGATATATTACCTCTTGATATATTACCTCTTGATATATTACCTCTTGATATATTACCTCTTGATATATTACCTCTTGATATATTACCTCTTGATATATTACCTCTTGATATATTACCTCTTGATATATTACCTCTTGATATATTACCTTGTTGCTTTTATTTCTTTGTACTTTAATCTCCTGTAAAACTTGTCTTTTGTTTATCTTATCTCTTGTAATATTTTTGCATTTGCTTGTATCACACCTCTTTAATAATTTAAATATTTTCATTTTTTTTTCTATGTTGTCCTTGTGTAGTCACTGTAATTCTTTACTCTCTCAGCCACTTTACTTTTATTTTTGACTAATCAAACATTGTTTAATCCTTGCATTACATTTTTTTAAAAATCTGAACAAAAAAGTTGTTGCATATAACTATGCAGTGTGGGTATTTGTTTAAATATTTACTGTTATAAATTTTAGTTTTTATTTTAGTTTTTACTTTATTCTCAGTTTTTATATGCAATTTTTCTTACTTAACTGATGTATTTCTTTTAAAAGTTAAATAATAGTATATTGCCTATTTTATTTTTTATGAGATCTATAGCTTATAACCTCTATCAATTTACAGTAGTATCGTTATAGGCTTATATAACTGCCATATTTGGAATTTTGAAATACATTTTTTTATTACTGTTGGTAATGAGCTAATTTCTTTCAGCCTTCACTTTATTCTTTAATCTTTTACAACTATTTGTTCATTGAATTTTCTTTCTTATATATGTATAAACAATACAGGCTATAACATTAAAGAACCTGAACACATTTCTCTAATTTATCGTTTTCTTGATGAAGGTTAATTTTAAGAACTTTAATTTTACTCACTTGCTCTATAATCCATTATGTTTTAATTTAAATTTGTATTTAATTTGTATTTACAGTTTATTTTTTTAAATTTGTATTTCATTCTTAAAAAGACGACTGCCAGACAATATTTTTTGGCTACAAGTTTTTACAAACCTTTAGTCAAATTTATTTACTAGCCAAATGTTTACTAATCTTTGTAAAAGTTTAGTATTCTTTGAGATTTATTTACATGATTATTTACTTAGTTTAACTACATTTATAGAATAACATGTCTTTTGTATGTACTGAATGTATAATTATAATTAAATTCCAAATATTAAGTTAATCTGTTTTCTTTACTAATCA